TGGTCAACAGAAGCATATTGTGAATGATCGCCAGGTTTAGGGGCACACGCATTTAGTCGGTTGTCGTATAGGGAGGGTTGGTGGGTCACGCACAGATGGAGCCTGAGTAACACATCTATCTGTAGTCGTATTGGGCTTTCATAATAATAATAATGATAAACTCCGTTTTCCAGAGCGCTATTCGCACAAAGAGATTGTATGCTATGCACTGACCGCTGACCTCTTGCAAAACCCCCAAAAAATTGAGGCAATTTGCCAAACATCTTGAAGCACAACCCTCCTGAAAAGGAATATTGATACTTAATTCCTGGGTAGATAAACCACATTTTTGCAAACGATAATTCAGTGGCTTGGTACGATGTCCGCATGGTAAAGTAACAATAGTGTTAACCTCAATCCCATGAAGTGCCAAGCGCTATTCATTATTCTCAACAAATCCTAATATGTTGAGCTAACCATAAACAAAATGGTTAATAAACAATGCTAATTATAATCTCTTACATCTGTTTTGACATTCATGCATTCTAACTGCATCCTGTGCTCTCCTTTCTCTGGCTTTATCGGCAATACTTAGGCCCACATTGTTTTCCACAGTCCCAAAGTAATTATATTTAATTAAGGGCACCTCTCTAAGCACAGGCAGCGGCGCACAAACATTAGCAAGTTTAATGGTCACTGCGAAAGAACGCCTCTGATTACCAAAGTAATGGAGAGACAGATAAGCACTAAAAAGGCGAGAGCAGTGGTCGACGTTTGCATTTAGAATTTTTGTTAAAGCCCTCGTGACCTTCGTGATGTCACGCTGCGGGTGAACGTGGCTGTACAAAAGTCACGCCTCAGTGACCAATACAAGAACATGGGTTGGTCATCAGCAGTGGCAGCAGCAGCAGCAGCAGCGGTTTCCCTGGCCAGGTGTTTCAGCTTGATGTTTTTTTTCTTCTTCCTCCATTAAACACATTCATGGCTTGAAGCGCATTGAGATTTGACGCGAGCAGACGCCGCTGCGTTTTGTCTAGTGGCGTTCACAGTTAATATCGCAATGCTTAGGCGGTGACTGCTATTTATTCCTGCTATTCCATTCCTCTCTCTTTACTTTATTTTCATATCGTTCCCGAGATCATAGCTGATGACCCGCCCACACATTGTTGACCCGCCCATACTGGGCATATGTGAAAAGAGCTTTATAGCTCTTTAGATTCCTCCTGCAGTCGAAATAGAGATTCTGATTCTGTGGGCTGCTGCTGTCTTTTATTTCGGTCAGCTGGAAAGTTACTTACGTGGTTCTTTGCCTATTTTTTTTAAAACAGTTGTTGGGCACTAGGCTCAAATGCCCAATAATAACAAGCAACCAGTAGCAATCAGCACCATCAAAAGTTGTAATGGATATATAATCAGAGTTTCTTGCATTGAGCAAGGTTGTTATTATTATTATTGTAAGGGATTTGGAGAAGAGACGATGGGAGGGAAGTCCCAAAGTGGAGCAGCGAGAGGCAAAGGAGCAGGATGGGAAGCATCGTGACCTGCAGGTTGTCGGTTGATCACCGTGTGGATGAGAAGAAGTAGTCGTCTTCAGCTACTTCAATGTCAACCACATGTAAAGTTAACCCGATCGTAGATTTGAAGTTTTCGTGACTGCAAGGATTCAAGGGGCAAGTGCAGCACACTTTTTATTCATATGGTAAGGTGAGGCTTAAGAGGGTGAGCCTTTGTTATGGAGAGGTACGGTTTGTGACTCAACCTGGCCTACCTCTTAAGCCTCACCTTACCATATGAATAAAAAGTGTGCTGCACTTGCCCCTTCCCCCCTCTTCAACCATTATATAAACGGAGTGGTAGCTCCTGCAAACTCTCATTTACTTGATACAGCTGTCGTGGCTGTGACGGTTCCACCTGAAGACGGAGGCTTGTGTTGCCTCCGAAACGTCGTTATTTTTATTTTATTTTACTTTTATTAATTTTAATGTTTTACCTACGTGACTTTACCGAAAAAAACTAAGAATATTAACCTGATCGCTAAACTCAACCTCCTGTCAAAAAAGAAGCCAGAGCCACACATTGAAAAAGTTAGATGTTAAAAAGATTGTTGTCAATCACAGCAACAGCCCAATTTCCGACAGCCTAAAATCGGTACTAGCTAAAGGTGTTGAGTTTCGCAGTCACCCCTGAACACATTCCAGTGGATGATATCATTCCCCAGGTAGACGTAGCCCTCAAAGGTTTGGGACACATCCCGGCAGATGTTGCAAGATCTGAAATCGCTGCTATCGTCAAAAACGCTAAGAAAGCCATTAGCAAGATCAGCAAGGACGAGCGTTTTGAACTCGCTCAATTGAAAAAGAGAGGTGACATTGTCATCCTCTCATCCGACAAGAGCAATGCCACTGTCATCATAGATAAAACCACGTACAACAACAAAATTCAGAACCTTCCTATGATGGCAGCTATACCAAAATTAATAGAGATCCTACCAACCGCCTACTAATTCGACTTCTCTAATCGAACCGACCAAGCAGCTCTCTCTAAAACTCTCGGCTGCTAGACCACCCAGATTTTATGGCTTTCCAAATAATCCGTAAAAAGGTCGCCCACTCCGTCCTATCGTTTCCACCATTAACTCACCAACCTACAAACTGGCCCGATTTCTGTCTGAGACCCGGCTTCCTTTCACGGGGTGATGGGGGTGGCGATTAGCGACCCTGCTTACCACGGTATCATCGTCAACGATGGGATAGTCATGTTCACGATACGGTGTGTTATGATCTTGATTTGAAGCTTTCGTGACTGCAGGAATCCATACTCTTTGGTTCTTTTGGCGCAACACAAGCGTCCACCATCAGGTGGGAAGCAGCAGATCATTATTTTGCCACCTGATGATGGACGCTTGTGTTGCGCCCGAAACGTCGTGGTTTTTTTTTTTTTATACCTACGTGACTTTACCGAAAGAACCAAAGAGTACGTGTGTCATGATATTTCACAATTCTATCGTTGTGCTTCCCTGTACTTGCATCGCTTCATGACTGAATACACCTTCAACGATGTCCAGCCGTAGTCCGCTCAAAAGAGCATTCACGGGATAGGCGTTCATCCCCATGTTACAAGCAGTCTGGAAATTCCACATTGCTATGGCGGTGGCAAGTCTAACCCAGAGGGGGCGGTGGGTGAGAAAAAAAAACACCCCCCACTGCAACCTTACTCACGGGCCTAAACGTACGTACTCTTAGTTTTTTCGGTAAAGTCACATAGGTAAAAAATGAAATTAAAATTAATAAAAAAAATAAAAATATATATGTCAAGTGAGGCGTCACTTGATACAGAAAATCTGGCTGTGACGGTCCCACCTGATGACGGAGACTTGTGTTGCCTCCGAAACGTCGTGATTTTTTAAAGTGAATTGTAATTTCATTTTTTACCTACGTGACTTTACCGAAAAAACTAAGAGCATGAATCCTTGCAGTCACGAAAGCTTCAAATCTAGAACCAAACGTACGTGTTTGCACAGAGCGGGGTTGTCCATGCAGAGCCACTGGTCATTGTGTGGGGCTGGCAAGATTGAGCCGTGGAATGTGGTGGCTCTACCTCATTTGAATGAGGACCTCGTCCTCCTCCCTCCTCCTCCTCCTGCGGGCCTGTGCGCTTTGTTTCCCGGCGCTTGTGTTCCCGCAAACGTCTGGGAGCCGTGACCCCGTGGGCCGAGCCCTGTGGAGCACAAAGGAAACCTGGGTGAGAAAGAACGACCTTGACTTTGTGCTGACGAATCTGTCTCCGTGTTCAATTATTGGCTATTTTCCTTTCTAAAGCGACCGGCAATGAGGGTTAATATTCACCAAGCACAACGCGCCTCGGTACGGAATTTGCACTTCAATATTAGCGGTGAATAAAATAAAATAAAAATAAACGTTTCTTGCAGTAAAAAACTAAAGTGTCAGAGCGATTTCCTGCTCAAGTGACACCTGAGCCAGTGCTTGTATCCAGTTTACATCCTTGAAGCCAGCGGTGGAAATTCCACATTCAAATGACGGGGGGTGAGTCAATCCGTATAATTGAACACTGTCGACTTGCCCACAACGTGGTACTCTTTTTATCGACCCCATAAGAATGATGGGCTGAGTCATTCCTCAACCTGAATGTAAACTCACAAACATCAACATTACTTTGTGTCGATGAGCATAGATGTGCAGTGACGGTAAAATCTCCAGTGTGTTTGTGGGTTGGACCTCGTGCTGTTCGGCAATGTCTGGTGTTTTACTCCTCGTGGTGTTGTACTGCACGTCGTTTTTGTTATCAATGCGCACTGCCTGCTGTGACATATCCGGTTCAGAAACACGATCATTATTGACAAATCGAGACCGAGAGCTGAAAAGAGCTCAAAGAAGCGTGGAGAGATGCACGCTTGGAATTTCAATGAGACAACAGAGAGAGAATACATGGATTTTAAAAAAAACATACGCATGTTAATGACGTCACTCAAACTGTTAAGAAAACTAAGTGTGTTTGGGGGAGAACACATGGTAAGAAGGGATGATGGCTGGTGAGCAAGACTGGTTGATGGAATGGCAGTCAACAGAGAACATGCACTGAGAAGATCGAGCGGTATTGTCAGTTCTTGTGCAGCAGTGAGATGGATTGTGGGGATGGTGGGATCAGCCAGGATCACAACAGCGTGGCCATGCCTTCAACCAGCAGTGGATAGACCATGGCTGACGAATGTCAATGACAATCATTGGTGTTGACGTACATCATTGCGAGAAGTGCGCAATGATGGCCTTTGGTGAAGAATAACAGCCGAGCAATGGAACGTGCCGGAGGGAGAGATGGAGCGATGCGATCGGCCGGTGTGCAGTTGCTCATCGGATCGTTACATTGCAGGATCGCGAGACGTGACGGCAGCTGGGAGAAGCCTCGATTCGGCAGCGTCATGATCATGTATGATGACGACGACGATGATAACGACGACGGCGATTGGTCCGCGCGTCTCCCGTTTAAATCCCGCTCGACCCCAGACACGCCGCGAGCCCTGGGGGGCATCCCGGACGGCGAGGTGACCACCATCGAGGTGGCGCGCGCCAACCCCTACATGGAGCTGGGCATCAGCGTGGTGGGCGGCTGCGAGACGCCGCTCGTCACCCTAGTCATCCAGGACGTGTTCCGCGAGGGGGCCATCGCACTGGACGGCCGCCTCCTCCCCGGGGACCAGATCCTGCAGGTGCGACTCCTCGCTGACGAGCTCGGGGGCCGAGATAGCCGGGAACTCGCGTGCACCGGCTCTGTCCAACGCACATCCACACCTGGCACTACACGTCCAGTCGAGCTGCTTTTGGTGTTACGTTTGTTGTCACTCCCCCCGCACTTCCGATTTGCACGGTTGGCTACGCGCGGTGCGAAACAAGTTCAACGTACACACATTCGGAGTCTGCCCGTGCCCACTGTGGCCTGCCAGCAAATTGGAAAATGTCCACAACTTGCACACCACATGCAGTCTACCTTTCGCTGTGGCTTTGGCTGCGACGAGTCATGTACTGCCTACTCCTCTCTGCCAGAGAAACGGAAAACATTCCCGCGCCTGTCACACTGCACGCAGCACTCTCGAGGCGACGTTTGGTGTGTGACGGTGGGTAATAGTCATCCGTTGACTGGGACGTCGATGAATTGATTGAAATCGATTCCACACTCGTGATGAGCGCATTAATTTTGGCATGTAGAAGCATTGATTATTTTCACAAATGGCACGTTCACGTGGGGTGAAGAGTGGGTAAGTACTCCAGCCTATTCCAAGACGTCGGGCCTGTGTGGAGCAGTTGGCCAATTACCCTCGAGACGGGGCAAGAACTGGTTTAAAAGCCTTGTCAAACCGACGTCGCCGGGCCAATGCTAACCACCGTACCACCGCTTCACGTGCTAATAGACACATTGATACTATTAGCACGCGTTCATTCGTACGGCAATGTCACACGGCGGCGGCGACGCACGCCCCACCCTTCCCCCCCTCCCCAACGCCGTCCACGCAGGTGAACGGTGTGGACATCAGCAACGTGTCGCACAACTCGGCGCGCGCGGCACTCGCTCGCCCGTGCCCCTCGCTGCGTCTCACCGTGCTGCGCGAGCGCCGCTACGGCACGTCCGGCACGCGCGCCGCGCCGCCGCAGCCTCCGCCGCCGGTGCAGCAGCTACAGCTGGCGGCCGGCCAGCCCGCCCCGTCGCCGCCCGGCGCGGCCGCCCCCCCACAGCAGCACGCGCAGGGCTCCCAGCATGCGCCCGCGGCGGCGCCGGCGGCGCAGCAGCAGAGTTCGGACGGGGGGCCACCGGCATCGGCGGCGGCTCCGAGGGGGCCTCACTGCCAGGGGGGGCACCCACCGCCGCCGCCGCCTCCTCCGCCGCCGCCGCCGGGGCCGCCGAGCGCGGAAGGGCCGGCAAGCGCCGTGGCGGCGGGTGGTGCGGGCGCCAGGGACGACAGCTTCCACGTGGTGTTGCACAAGCGGGGCGGCTCGGGGCGCGAGCAGCTCGGCATCAAGGTGAGGTCTCGCGGCGGAAGAGCATCGTCGGCCGCTCGCAAGGTGGCGAGATGTTGACTGCCTCGCCGGGTGTACAGGAGCTCGTGGGTTCAATCCTGACCCTGACGACGCCTCTTTATATGGAGTTTGCGTGTCTCTCTTTCTCTCTGTGGTTGCATGGATTTTTCTAAGGGTCCTCCAGTTTTCCCCATCCACATTGAGAATCAACGTCACGCGCCCAGAGTATTTGGCTGCTTTGAATGTCCAGGTCGCTTCTGGACAAAAGAGCTCTCTATGGCTCAGTGGACCTCACACCTGGTCAAAAAAAAATAAAAAAGCTTCGTAGCTCATCGGATTCCTGCAGTCCAAAGAAAGATTCCAATTGTGATATCTCATATCGCGAAGCAAGCACATGAGCGACACTGCCTTCGCTGCATTGTGGCCCAGAGGGACTCGCGCAGCTCACAAAGTTCGGACGCTTAAACAACAGGAAGTTTTGCCCCGGCCGTTGTCGCACGATGAAAATCTCATCACATGAAATATAATTGAAAAGTCCAAAAGAATTTAGGCGACACAGACTCCTGAGAGAAACCGCCCTGGGCTCGTTGTGCCAAAGCCACTGGCCCGGTGCGTGCGGCAAGGGGCGGTAGAAGCAACCCGAGAATGAACGATCGGCTCGCTAAACAAACGCTCGCATACACAGCACCCCCACCTTAACCACTTGCAGTGCTCGTCGTGGCGGGAGCGAGCGACACCATCACGCGTGTCGAAGTTGCCGTCTCATTGAACGTGCGTGTGTAATGGTAGCACACAGTCAATCAACAACAACAGGTTCATTATGTTAAACATCATGACGGGGTGGGTGGCTCAGAGGTCAGAGCGCGGAACCAGTTTCGCGCTGGGCTCCTGGGATCACCGAAGCCTGGTTGCAGCAGCGTTTAATCCGCGTTCTCGAGTGGAGTGTGAGTCTGTGGTCTCAGCCCGGTCGCCGGTGATTGCACAAAATGCCAAAAAATATAGAGCATAAAATTTGGTTCTGCATTGGGAATTCAAAATATGGGATTGTTATGAGACGAACACTCCTCTGCACAGTTCAGAACATGTCACTTGAAGGGATCTCAGAGGTAGCCCCGGCATATCCACTTCCGTGGGCCGTTCTCTCACACAAAGGGTTGCACTGCTCTTCGAGAATTCCGACAGTTTTATTTTTTTTGGAGCAACTCATATGTCAGGCTGCCCAGGGTATCAGTTGACACACACGCATGACAACCACTCTGATGACAACCGGGATAAAACTGTCAAATATAAATTTACAAAAAGTTTTTTTTTCCTGGCAGTGAGAAGGAGAAAATATTTTGGTGTTTTGGCATTTGGGCCAGATATATTGTGTATTACAGAGGAAGCATTTTCGATATACATAACTGAAGAGGGTAGCATTGGGGAGCTGGTGATGTCAGACTCGGTGGAGAATGGATATCCTCTTCGAATGCCAGTCTCGAAACAAACGTGAAGAATGGAATGTGAGTAAAACATTTTGAAGGCAGAAAACAACATACAGGTTCCATTTCAACAGAATCACGGTTAACCACGCTCCGGTGACACACTCGTTACGAAAATGTATTTACGCATGGTCTTAAGAAATCGGTCAGTAGATGTAAAAGGAGCGAGTTGTTCGCAAGCAGAAGGTCACAAGTTGAAATCCTGACTCAACCCATCATTCCTATGAGGTCGATAAAATTTGTTCTGCTCTGTGAAAAAGTTCAACAATGGTTGTCCTTTGGAAAAAAACAAGTCGCCCTCGCCATAGCAATGTGCAATCTTGTTGTATGTGGAGGGTCTTACAATATTTATAAAAAAATGTTTTATTAATTTGTGCAAGCTCGTGTCTCGGGGTTTTCTAATTATAAGACCTTCTCCACAATGGTCACCAGGTTCATAGATCCGTCCAGCAGTTCAGGCTTTTTTTAAGTAATATGACTCATGAAACATAAATAACCCACTCGGACATTCAGTACACTACAAGTCTGAGTATTTAATGGATCAAAGCGTCAACTATTGTCATAATCATGTCAACTCTGCACAACTCTTCTTCTACAGTGTACATGAAAAACACGCAACCGATTGAAGCAATCGTACGAACCAATGTATGATAAAGAAAAATATGTCTAGGGGGGATAATCAGCTAACGTATGAGCCCTCCAAAGTGTACTCCCCCCCCCCCCTTTTTCATGATGCGATTAAGTGATGTTAGAATTGGAAAAGATATGTTACAAGGCAACCGCTCGATGCGCCGTCCATGAGCGAGGACCGACACCTCCCGTCAGTCTCTCGCCCCTCTTGGCTTGCAACCACCCAGACAGTCCGCAGCTGGCACGCCGCTGCATGGCACCGTCTCAAGGCTGCCAGCGAGGATGCGTTTCGCTCCTTCGGCGCGTGCGTGCGCGTGCGTGCGCGTGCATGCGCGGGCGTGCGCGTGCGTGCGCGTGCGTGCGCGGGCGTGCGCGTGCGTGATGTACGGGAGCCCCAACCGCCGACGAGACTCGCTGGTCGTGCCCTCGCTGGGGCACGGCAGATGCCCGTCACTCCGGCCGGCAGGGCCCCTCGCGGTGTCTCTGGTGTCGGGCACGAAGGTTCCTGCACCACTCTGACCTTTCACCTCTCAGGCGATGAGTCAGACTCGTGTCAGACTCACTAATCAAAGACTAATAAATCACGCACTCATGCCATGCGTAACAATGTGCCCACGTATATGTGTTGCACTCCTTAACAGATATATCAAAACCAATCCACATGAGCAACTATATAAAAATGTGCAAACTCTATGATATAGCCTTCGCCTTAACAAAATATGGAATCGCACTGGCGTTAGCACAAAAAGTGCTACAAGAACTTGACAGTATACGCAAAGTCTGTGCACCATGCAACAGACCACAAACAGAAAAATTCATCAAAGAAACAATAATTCTCCAGTAATATATCAGAACAATTATCTTGTTGTCAGTGGGTCCTCTTCGCGAGGTAGCTCCTGGGAGCCCCATGCCCTTGGCAAAGACGGACTTCGAGTTCAATATGAAAAATGGAAATTTCCAACCTTGAAATCACGCCCCTTCTCATAGATATTAATTACCGTTAATGCTACTTTCAAGTTTCAAGTTTTCAAGTTCATCTATTAGGCATAGCCCTGTGAGCCATTCGGCTCTTGAATCGGGTGCAACCGCAACAAACAAAAAACAAAAACATGAGCAAGAAAACATCTTAAAGTGAATATGTGACTAAGTGCAAAACAGAAAATCCAAGAAAAGACAGCAAAATATTGCAGAAAAAGCACCGTACGCCAACGCTGCGTGCAAAAATCCCAGTGGGATGCAAGTCAAACAACAACAACAACAACCACAAGACAACTTAGATTAAGGCCATCAGTCTTACTCTGTACTACAACAAACAAACATGGCCAAACCTAGACCGTGGGACAATGTAGACCCTAAGACTTTAGACTAGGAGCCCGGATGTTATATCCATGTATGGCGTTTGCTACTCTTTGCAAGGACCAACATTTCAACTAACTGAATTCGGACAAAGGACCGATGCCCCGTGAAGGTCTCAGGTGCGATATCACTTATCTATATGTATGTGGGCGTGAGAATGGAAGCCTCCCTTCCTAGACCGTAACTCTGCTGATAGGAACGAAGGCCCTGTCTTAATGAGCTCAACATATATGTAGTATAAACGAGAGCAACTCAAAGGCAGTTGTGACGAACACTTATAAATATAATATTAATCACGTATTCATTATCATGACGGGGTACACACCCAACAATCTAACGGACTGCATCTCTGAACGTGTGAATTGAGCTGTGAGGAATGCAAACTGATGTTTTTACCCCCCCCCACCCCCGTCAATGTGAAACAGCAAACGTTTCACACATTCCTCTCCAGTATAAATTAGACTAATTTATCTGTAAACATAAGCAACGCCTGGAAATAAACATTTGGCAAAACACAAATCTATTTTGCCTTCTTCTCAATGACAGTCAAAAAAAACTATTATATATTTTATTGCATAATCTCTACAGTGTACAAGCAGAGGAGCGCATATTTTTAAATCCTTTATATTAAGTTCACTCGCTTGCTTGCTTGCGCGCTAACGACCGTACAAATCTTTCGGTCGTTTTTTAACCCACTTCCCGTGATCCAATCGAGCTGACGTTTTGCACACAGACTCGTTGTGCGTGACAATTTATTTTCGTGAAAATTCTTTTCCAAAATTTTACACTTTTTAGGAAAAAATTAATTATATTTAATTACCAATTGCTTAATGGTGGCAGGCAATCATCTGACCCATAGGTGGCAGCCATCTCAAGCCAGAGGACGAGAGGACTCTAGCCGCCACGCATATAAAGGATTTATTGTGAAAAACTTTGTTTTTACGGGTTAATTTTTTTAGGAAACCTATCTCTTACTCCTCTATCTGCACCCTTAAAACTCGACGATACATTTTTCTCCGCTGTTGGTTAATTTGTGGATGGTATCTTGTAAGTGAGCACAAACACACGCAATCGATGCCATTCTTTGCTTGTGTGATTTAAGTCCCGGGGTTAGGGTTAGGCTTCGCAGTTACTCAACAATCAAATTCAGCCCTTCGTGTCAAGAAACATCATCGCAGGTGCGCTGGAGGATTGTAACAAAGCAATCATGAACACACCCTTTGTCAGTTCACTGCCGGATGAAGCCCTCACCATGCTGTGTTGGTCGTGGGGCTTGTTTGAGCAATATTTAGCCAGGCTGGTCAGTGTGGGTTGGTGGTCGGTGCCTGCCCAGGACCATGTTTGACACCGCGAGGCACCGGTGTTAGCCGTGGCCGTGAATCGAACTCAGCTTGGGGCGGGTTCGTAGCGCAGTGCGCTAACCGCTGCACCGCACCTCCACCCAACGTGATGCTTCGAGGCAGATAAGCACTTGTTGTAAGGTCCACCAATATTTGTATTCCCGTTGATGAAAGATGCGTTTTATGATAAAAAAAAAAGGTCCCAGTGCTCATCTCCTGTTTACAGCCCTAAGCCAGTGGTGGAAATTCCATATTACTGTGACGAGGATGAGTGTGTCCACAAGACAACCGATGTTGGTTTTCTCACACGGAGGTACTCATTGTATTGACCGTGACGAGATGATGGGTCGAGTCATGACTTCGGCTCGCAGCTTTCTGATTGCGAGCCGCTCGCTCCTTTAAAATATCACCGATTCACAAGCCCATGTATGAATATAATTTCATAACGAACGTGAAAGACGCATGGTTAACTGTGATTTTGTTAAATGAAATCCATGCGTTTCCCATAAAGGCTTCTTTGCAAAATGTCGACACTGATCATTTGTGGAAATCAAATGGAAATGGGTTCCACGTACATTACATGCATTTTGTATCACGCCCAGCAAGCCTTGTCCATTCTGGTTAATTCAACTGTGCGGTAATTCTCCGTATTTTATTGTATATTCAGTTTAATTCTGCTTTAATGCATTTGACCGTCGGAGCTAAGTATTGTTATTAAGACGTCATGTCGTATGTAATTGTGCAAATCGGCGGACATACTCCAGGCTCGCAACAACATCGGGCAGTCTGATTGATTTGACACTGAGCAGAGGTGAAATGGAGAAAATGGCCAAATTTGCCGAGACACAAAGTATGGAGCGCAATGGCCAATACTTTGTGCCTCCTAAATAACGCGCTCGAGTGATCGTCATGGGGAGCCACGAGTGGGTTCTATTTGCTTGTCCGAGCAGCATCTCGGTGTATTTCCTTTGGCCTTACAAATTATCTCATTTTTAATTTTCCGATTTCCAATTTAAAAAGCCGTCACTGTTAATGATTTCTGCGAGGGTCTAAAATAACGCGCGAAGCTTCCCGCCGGATGAATTGAGAATAACAAGCGCCTTAAAGAGAGAGTTCAATTTCCACCGCCAACACATCCAATTTCCAACAATTCCCAAAAGCGAGGGTCAAGTCAGCCGCGAACAAGCAGGCGGACGCTGCTGCTTTTGCATTACTGCCAACAGGCTGGGGAGAAAGACACACAAGTGAAAGCTTGACTTAAACCACCCACACTGCTCCAAGTGGAACTGTTGGCAGATTCATTTTTTTTACCCTTCATATGTTGAAGGTTTTTTTTATTTTCCTTCGACCCATTGTACTCGGAAATGCAGAGATAAGAAATTGGATTTTTTTTTTTTTGCTGGGGAAGTCAACGAGTCAATCTTAGATGCGTTTACACCGAACGGGCTGAGGTTTGACTCCATTTGATTCGTGGGAGTATTTTACCCCGAAAATAGGAACACAGAATCATCAGTAGGGAAGCTGCTATGTTATGAAATGGCCAGCACACCGGACTTACAATTCAGAATCAGGATCTTTATTCAGACTGGAGGAGGAGGAATCCGATGAGCTATGAAGCTCTTTTTCACAGATATTCAGTGTGGGCTGGTCAGCAAGTTACAACAGCAATCAATATAAAAAAAAACGATAGGAATGCAAAAACAGTAAAATCGGTAAGCAAGTTACTAAATATGAATAATAGAACATGATTATTTAATTCTAGATTTGAAGCTTTCGTGACTGCAAGGATTCATACTCTTTGTTTTTTTCGGTAAAGTCACGTAGGTTAAAATAAAACAAATAAATTAAATCACGACGTTTCGGAGGCGACACAAGCTTCCGTCTTCAGGTGAAACCGTCACATCAAAATCACTTGATGCAGCATAATCGTCACCGGCGTTGCCCGTGAGTGGGAATCCATCCCGGGTCGCCGGGTTCGTAGCGCAGTTTGCTAACCGCCACGCGACCGCTCCCCACATCCTCTTGCACACACGCGACCCCCGCTCTCCGTGTCTCCGGCAGCTCGTGCGTTGCGGCGACGACTCGGGGGTCTTCATCCTGGACCTGCTGGAGGGAGGCCCGGCAGCCGTCGACGGGAGGCTCAGGCCCAGCGACCGCGTGCTCTCCATCAACGGGCACGACCTGCGGCAGGGCACTCCCGAGATGGCGGCGCAGGTCATACAGGTGCGGCCACGTGCAAGGTGGAAAACGTTCTTGCTTCGGCTCCGTCCGGCTGTCTGTCCGTCGTGACGCGCAGCTGCGTGCCGTGACGTAGCTGCAGTGCCGGCTCCCAGCTTGCACTGCGCAGAGACGCTCCTCGTCGCCCTTTGCGCAAAGCCAACGGCACGGCGAAGTGCATCTAATCAGCAGTCGCGCAGCATGAGTCGCTCCGCAAATTAACACTTGACAACAGCCGACCAATGTTGGACAAATGTAAACCCGTTGTTGGCTTAACCTCGGCGCGACCTTCAATGAATCACGTGTGGCCGCTTTTTTTTCTCCCAATGATCTTTTTTTTATATGACGCTTAATTCATAATGCTTCAACTCATTAACATCAGAGCGTGACCCGCAATAATTCAGAGCGAGCAGAGCCTGTCGTGCTTTTCGCGTTTGAACTTGCGGGGAGGGCCGAGGAGGCAGTGGCGTATTGGCTGCAGTTCAAATCAAAGGCAGGGGAGGGCCGTGACAACGCAAGCGCTGTGCTTAACATTTGCATTATCTGCTTAATTTAGAGCCTGCCAGCACTTGATAGGACAACAGCAACTCAGCATTCCAATGAGAGTGGGGAGCTGGGGTATGAGACTGGCATCTCAATGGGCAGGCATCCCCGAATTTTCTTTTGGGGGGGAAAATAAAAAAAACCCAGCAAAAACCTCTCCGTCTGTCTACGCTGCGAAACATATTCAACCCCACTTCAGCGGCTCGTTGTCACTGGGATAAAAAAAAACACGACAAATATGGCCAAAGCCAGGCGCGAGCGTTAATTATGTATTACGTAGCGCTCGCCAGCGCGCGTACGACACTCCGGCGGTGTTTAGCAAGCCGACGGGCAGAGAGAGCTTCCACAGGACCAAACAATACGTTTGCTCGTTTTGACAGCCCGTCAGTAAGATTTGACAATTAGAACCACTGTTGGTGTTTAGTTTGTTGTATCCCCCCACCCCCCCCCCCGCTAGCAACCTCCGATTAGCACGGTTGGTCACGTAGGGTGCGAAAGAAGTTCAACTGACGTGCACACGAGATAAGTCCGCAAATTTAGCGTGAAAGTTTAATTCATATTTGATTCTATTTCGGAGAGTTATAGTGCTGCTCCACCCCCCTCATTGAGCACTGCTTAGCACATGTACACACCGTGTACACAACACGTGTTGTATAACACCATGTACACAACACGTGTTAGTGAGTAATACAGAATATCTCGATTCCTGCCTCTCAGTTCTCGACTAAAATTCATCGTACGGCAAGTCAGGTTGATGATCCGACACTCATTGATCCAATCGCTCGCTCACTGGCTGTCAGTCGCCCCCTTATCACTCCTCTCTTGCTGCTACCATGGTTACCATTCCCGTGAACTTCACTCATCGATTCCTCCACCCAAAGTATGTGGTCTATCAGACCGTTTCAACCCATCCATGCTGTGTTCACCCACCACATGAGGAAGCCACTGGAGAAATGCACTTTTTAATCTAGATTGAAAACTAATTTCTTTCGACCTGCTTTCTGTGTTCAGTTTGTTGTCCTTCTCCTGCACCTCCCAATAGCACCGCTGGCTGTGTACCGTGCCAAAAAAGTTCAACACACACGTAAAGTGCACGTCGTAAAATATACCTTTTTGCGTCTTCCATCGGCACTGCTCAAACTTGCAATTTCCTCCATCTCCCCCCCCCCCCCCCACGTGCTCTCTGAACACAACCTCGCTAAAGAAAACTCAAGCAACGCATTCACTCTCCATTGACCGCAACATTAACAGCGCGGACACGGTCTGCTGCTGGGCCGCTCGACATTGGTTTTTTTTCGGCGAGCCTTCGGAGCCGAGCCGCGACGAATGAAAAGAGACATTTGGGCTCCGCCCATTTCAAACCTTTATAAACGGTTTGCCTTTAGAAGCTAACCCCCTTTTCCTGATGACGGCCGCTTGTGTTGCTATCGAAAAGTCGTAGTTTTTTGTTATTTCCTTTGAACCCATCCACGTGACTTTACCAAAAGATCCAAAGAATACGAATGGAAAGATGTGCAAAGGTGTGAGCGGCGGCGGTGGGCGGGTGGTGGGCTGTGCGCGGCACAGGGAAGTGAGGACCGCGTGCACATCGTGGTGTCGCGGCCGGGGAAGCCGGGGCCGCCCGGCGCCCAGGACGGACGGAGCCACACGATCCCGGGAGCCGCCCACCCCAGCCCGCCCAAGCCCTGCCACTACCGGGTACCCGCACGGCGACGCGCGGAACAAACGCCAGCGGGCGGCGGCGGGCCAAGCGGCGCTTGGTGGCGGTGACGCGGCCGAGGGGCGTTCGCCGCTCGTAGCGCGGGGTTTGGCGGTTCAAACCCCGGCGGCCGCCCTGGTTAACACCGTTCGTGTAAAAAACATAATACTGATTTACAAGAGGAGGCCATTGCGTACCACCATCAGGGTCCAGATTTAGCCAATTCGAAAAAATGACATCGCAAATTACTCAATTGGGATTTCATACAAAAGGCAGCATGCATCGCCCCCTACTGGCAGACTAATGCCCCATGCCATGCTTGATGATACGACTATCCTGGCATCTTCAGTTTTCACCTGGTTGAGATAAAATCAACTGAACTTACACTTGTGCCACGCTAGGTGCAATTTGAGGCTGTTGCGTTAAGCGCTGCACGTTTGTATTCTGGTATTTCTTCATTGTTGTACTTCCAGCGTGCATGGAGATTACTTACAAGTTTTGCAGCAGCAGTTCGCTCAACATGTGCCTGCCAGGAGTCTTTCTCGCCATTACAATCTCTAAACGCTAATAACGTACGCACTGTCGGTGAAAAAAAATGAAATAAGTATAAGACCTACAAAACTGATGTCATTTCGATTACTCAGAAGAAGAAAAAGCATTACCTCGATTGTTACATGATACATATTTGGTCGTAAATATTGTTGTATTCTTCTCGTACCTTATCATTTCTGCATAGTACACAGCAGACGTTCGCGGGTGCTGGGTGGATGATTAATATCGCGGGATTGCGAGAGATGGCGATGGCTTGCTGATGGCATTGGTGATGTTGTCGAGGCGGCACGAGAGCGAGTGAGCTACCGATTGTGTGCTGCGGATCTCGTGACGAGTCCGCGTGGCGCACCAGGACAAGTCTGCCTCGCTTCACCGTCATCGTTACCCGCGCTACTTACCGCTGTCGTAGTGTTTTTTTTACGTGTGCTCATATTTAAGGTGACACTGGTTATCGTTCCTTGTGAACCAAGAATAAAAATTATGACGTTAAAGAATTCCTTCAGGTTTTACAATCCACTTGTGCTGGGTCAGAGGAAGAATATAAGTTTTTTTCATAAGCTTGTGAAAAAATACGATTATTAAGTTGGCTTTGGTGGCTCGAGGCATGGGACTTATCCACTGATCCAGCACCTCGTGGGCGCTGGCTTTGGCCATGGAGGTAGACAATTGGAAAAGGGAATGACGTCATTTTTCTCGGATTGGAAATGCCATGAGTGTGATGAGTTATGTGCTCTCGGCATTGTCTGTGACCAAAAAAAAAACCTACAAATGTGCAGTTTTATTTGCTTGAAGTAATATCCAAGAGAAACATTATGCCGTGGTTTTGAGTGAGACAAAATTGGCCCATTCAAAGCAAGCCACTGACATTTCCTTAATTCTAGGAATTAAGAAGAGACACTATTTGAAAGATAGTTTCAGAATTAATTGAATTATATGAATAGAAATTATTCTACTTTCTTTAACGGCTACCCTGCTCAGATGGGAAAAGAATACTGCGGAAATAATGATAATTCTCTGTATGCTCTTAAAAGCCTCGCCGAGTCAATGTTTTATAATGAGAGCCCTTCTTGATATGTTTGGCCAGTTTCTTAAGTATTTCTACGTTAGTGGCAAAACAGACGCATTGTAGGGAATACAAACGTAATAATGGTCTCTGCACTGTCATCAATGGCTACACAAATGCTCTCATCATATTTGTTTATCTTCCAAAGCAAATCTATTCCATTTTGATTACCATGACCATCCTGTCTCCATAAAACAGGCACATGACCAGGTACTCCACTTGCTGTGTGACACAAGAGGCACTTCGAGTAATATCAGAAGTAGTTCGATGATGTCATATTCCAGAGGCTGCGTTTTCCACGTGTGTGTGTGTGTGTGCATCTGTGCGTGTTTATGCAATTTCCGTTTGTGTGTTTATGCCTGTGCGGACGTGCATGCACGCTTCCATGAGGATGCGCGTTTTTGTGTGCGAGAATGTGCGTGCACACATATTCACGTGTGTGTGAGAAGCGGACATGTAGTGGTTAGCGCGCTGCGCTATGAACCTGGCGACCCGGGTTCGATTCCCGCTCATGGCCAACACCAGTGACGATTATTTGAACCGGTCCCGGGCCTCCCCTAGGTCGACTCAGCCTCAAATGAGTACCTGGTGCAATGTGAGACAAAGGCGGCCAGGCGTGGTTGCTGGCCACGCACCCCCTCGTGTGCCGTGCCGGCCTTCATAGGTGCTACTCGCTAACAGCACTAAATGGGGGATCTTTTTGTGCGCGTGTGTGCGCGCGCGCGTGTGCCACCTGCACGGCAGGAGCTGTCTCAAGCGGTGTCGTGCCAGGAGAAGGTGGTCACGGTGCGCAAGGAGGCGAGCGAGTCGCTGGGCATGACGGTGGCGGGCGGACTTGCCAGCCGCAGCGGGGAGCTGCCCATCTTCGTGACGAGCGTTCAGGGCCACGGCTGCCTGGGCAGGGACGGGCGCATCCACCGCGGTGAGCCCCCCCCCCCCACCCCACCCCTCCGACGCATTCAAATGATCAGCATCATCAGCCACCACCGTCACTCATGATCCTGATGGCACCTGCACGTGAGCTAAATGTCACAGCATCATCTCCCCGGTGGACGCCGTTGCGGACGCGTTCCATTGAAAATGGGCGCTCGAATATCACCCGCGCGACTTGGACCGGCTCTGGAAATTTCGGCACGGCTTGACTTTAGCAATAAAACTAATGATCAGCTTGTTTAATTATCAATTCGGGAACAATTGTTCTCAAGTGCATTTTTTTTATGATGCGTTTCTTTTAATGGGAAATTGCATTGCAGACATCGGCTCTGTATACTTGCACCCTGTATCTGAAACTAAGGCTTGCTGGTTACGCACCGGCCTTCAACACAAAGGTCAATTGGCCTCTTTTAACCCTTTCCAATTCTGAGACGTCTGCAAGTTGCGGTGTTCACCACCGAATCTCGGAACGCGCAAGCGTTTCAGCGAGGGGCGTAGGGCCATTGATTTAAAGACATTGTACTCACCGCAGAGAACTGTAGCGACACGACCGCACCTATGATAGCTGGCACCAACCTGTGCCACACGCCCTCCCACATGACCTTGTGGAAGCCTCAGTATCGATAAAGTTAGTTTATTTTATTTTGTCTTCTGATTCCATTCTGATGATGTACACGTACGGGTGTGTCACTGGAACTGAATCGGAAGAAAATCTAATGACGTACACGTACACCTATGTCAACGGAATAGGAAAGGATTGAGAAGGCCAGTTTGTCAGAAGGCCATTCTCTCCCTCTCAATAATTCACACGCAAACCAAGAGGATATTTTCCACTCTGCCTGGGCATTATTATGTCTGCCTTCTTGCCCGTCCATCCATCCCAAGATATTGCATATATTTTCATGAAAACTACAAAATCAACGGCTACAATATTTTACGCACAGCTCATCAACGCCATTATCCAGATCTCTTATAGTTCTTTTTGGAAATTGTTGGCAGAAAAACTCTCCGAAAAGTTTTTGACTTCACTTGGCAGTGTGACGGCACGTCGGATACCGCCGTTATTACCGCACACTGGAGCACTCGTGCCACAGCGCACCACTTCCGCACCCAACATGTGCATCCGTTTGTGTGCACGGTTGAGTGTTTACATGCGCACATCTCTCCTTTGTGCGCTTGAATCACGTGGCAAAATAGATCACTTAAGAGTGCTTGCCTGACAGCTTGTTTTTTGTGACACCATCCCCATCTGTTTCCTGCCACTTTCCGCATGCCTCTGTTTTTCGCCTTGACCCTACCCCACTACCCCCCCCCCCCCCAACTCCTGTGATGGCACGCATCCAGCTACTGTTAGGTTTTGATTAACCACAGATATTAATAATATGCACTCAGCTCCTACCAATTAGTGCAGGCAAATGAGAGACTCGTGCACAGAATATTCTAACCAGCTTATATGGCCAGTGCTCATCTTGGTTGGCAGCCCTGAGCCTGTGGTGGAAATTCGACATTCCCATGGTTGAGGCCAGTCTTTTCCATACGATGAACACTGATGATTTCCTACAAAGTGGTACGTATTTTATCAATCCCGAATGGATGATATGCAATCGCCGGCCGTGATTTAAACTCACAAGTCTTCGATAGTGAGGCAAGTGGTCTTCAACACACTGCCACTTGTGGTTTTGTGGCCAGAGTGTAAGAGTCGCCCAAATAGCCTCGTATTCGCTGTAATGAAGGCCCTTCTGCTAGCAGTGGCGTGAGTAATCGGTTGCAGGCCTGCACCTTTACCTTTGTTATTATATACGTGAGAGTCTGGTGTACAAAACACATGGCAGTTACTGGTGGATTGTGGTACACTATAGAAATAATCGTAATTCATGTACTAGTTAACTATTTACTCATTTGTCTATTGCAATATGTTCACAGTACAATAACAAGTTTTTTCTTGTAGTAAAATAAATATATAACAAATAAATGCATTATCATCCAATAATTAGTATGTCCTCTTGTATTTTAAAACCTCATACTTTGGTAAATATTTTTTTAATAGATTTTTTAAGTGAGGAATGTGTCCCTGATGTTTGGAAGAATCCAGAAATATCATTATTTACATACATTTCCCGCCAGAAAAATAAATAAATATATATCACACAAATTCATTATCATCCAATAATTAGTATGTCCTCTTGTATTTTAAAACCTCATACTTTGGTAAATATTTTTTTCAATACATTTTTAAGTGAGGAATGTGTCCCTGATGTTTGGAAGAATCCAGAAATATCATTATTTACATACATTATCCCACCAGAAAAATATTGTCACGTGGCAATCGGGTGACATCATTTTTGTGTGCACGTTGAATTGTCACGTGATGTAAGTGATCCAACAAAATATCCAAAATTGTCCTTGAAACATCTTAAAATTCGAATCTGAAACGCATCGCTCGAACCAGCTGTTAATGTTGCAGTGGAGCACTTGACCGCTGCACCACTGCTCCACCAGTCTGCCCAAAACAAGAACACACTTCTCAGGAGGACAGAACACAATGCCGAGTATCCAATCATCGTCCCCGGAATGTATTATTTTTGTTGTCTATTTAGCCGGCCTGTCCCCATCGTCACGATCCACGGGAGGAGAGCGGTCGGGGCTGTGTGCCAAATATCGTAGCGGTGGATTTTGCAGTTTAATGCACGAATGAATTCAACTGCACGACGTAGAAAATTGAGCGTGACATATCAAATAAGCACGATCAAAGCGAAACAAATGCAACAAAAAGCTGCACATACCCTAAATCAAACACACGAGTGACCAAAGCTACTCACCAACAATAACAACAGCAATCTGACACTCGCATGAAGCTTCAAACAGTCTTGTTTGGCCTGGGTTTCAGAACGACAGAAATCCACATTAACCCGGTTGCAACAATCTGAATTCTGTGCTGATCCAATATACTCTGGGCTGCACGCTTAGGGGCCGTCCATAAATGACGTCACGCACCTAGGGGGGGGGGGTCAGACATTTGTGACGATGTGTGACGAGGGGGGGGGGGGGTTGAGAAATGTGACGTCACATCAAAATGCGCAACTTTAAATAAATACAGAATTGTTAAAACAACACTAATTGTTGAGCCTCGTAGAAATTTGGATAACTTCTTTAAGCAAATAAAACTGAACTACTTTTATTTGACCTGGTAAGGCCGACTGAGTTATTCAGCTCTTTTTTTTAGAAGCGACCTGGCTATCAAAAATGATAGCTCAACCAAGTTGCATTTCACGTGGAAATGTATCGCAGCCAAATACTCTAAACGGATGTTTCTACATGCGGAGGGAAAAACCGGAGGACACTGAGAAAAATTCACGCGACCATGGGGAGAAACATGCAACCTCTAAGTATACAGCAGGCATCGTCAGGGTCTAAATCAAACCCACGACCTCCTGTATACCAGGCGAGGTAGTTAATATTTCCTGGCAGCGGTTTAAGCCGCATCACCTCTACATAACAAAAAGGCTCAGTCCCTTTTACACGCACCGTTACATCATCCGCACCTAGTTTACACAACAAAGGCTCTTTCCTAACAGCGTGCTTTCAGCCGCACCGAACCTCACAAAAATAATATTCAGGGCCTACCTTGACTCCTCCCACCCTCAACCAGTATATATAAAAATACGGTTTTCTTGGAATTTCTCTCACTTGATACAGCTATCGTGCTGTGACTGTTCCACCTGAAGACGGTAGCTTGTGTTGCCTCCGAAACGTCGTGATTTTTATTTTAAATTTTTATTTTACTTTTATTACTTTTATTTTTTTACCTACGTGACTTTACCGAAAAAACCTAAGAATATGAATCCTTGCAGTCACGAAAGCTTCAAATCTAGACTTAATATCTCGCCACTGTGGCTATCGACCCCACCCCCATGCGGCACAGGCGACGTGCTGATGAGCGTGAACGGCGTTGACCTGACGCGGCGCAGCCACAGCGAGGCGGTGGCGCAGCTCAAGGCGTGCGCCGTGTGCCCCGTGGTGACGCTGCGCGCCCTCGAGGTGCGCGTCCATTCCGGGGCGGGTGCCCCCGTCACCGCCCCCCCCTCCTCCTCCTCCTCCCCACCGCCGCCCCCCATCGCCGGCGGCGGCACCGGCGGCACCGGCGGCGGCACCGGCGAGGCCACCAACGCCGAGCACGAGTACGACGCCAACTGGTCGCCGCCGTGGCTCATGTGGCTCGGACTGCCCAGGCAAGCAGCCTCCTCTGCATCGCCACTCACTCGCCGGGATCAATCGCCCAGTCAACCATCCATCTGTCCATCCATCCATCCATCTGTAAATCCGTCCGTCCGTCCTTCAATCCATCCATCCATTAATCAGTCCATCAGCCTGTCCGTTCGTCGGTGCGTTCATCCTGTCAGTCTGTCCATTTGTCTGTCCATAATTCAAACGACCCGTCCATCTTCCTCCGACTCCACTGCACCCGTTCATCAATTTGTCGATTCAAGTTTGTAGGCCGGGGTAAGGGGGGGCGGGGGGCGTTATTCTGGTCGAGATGGATTGTGCACGGCATGCTGCGTCGCTGCTCAATCTGCCCAACTCATATTTCCGTGTGATCATCATCACCCATGGACTAGCCACTGTTGAATGAAGGCATGCCAGAGCTGTCACCAAACCTCATGGTCACACGATGCAACAATCCGTCTAGCACCGACATACAAGCTGATCTTGCTGCATTGCTTCATCCCTCTCCGTGAGTGTCCTCTCTGCCGCTGCGTTGTTAGTCTCAGTCCCTGGCCAGCATCCCATCCATCTGGTTTTTGTATAATGTGTGCCAAATTATACCACTGGTGACTTCATTTAAATTGGTGTTCACTTGATCAACCCCTGACTCTGATGCAAACTCGTATTCTTACAGATGCGATCCGCACACTACGGATACTGTGCCGCTTTGCCGGATGGCTCATGGTCAAGAGGGCATTTGATGTCAGATTAAAGCACTGAGCTCGCACTGCTGAGACGTTGGGTTGGACTCTGTAGATCCATCAATGGCCGTACTGGGTTCTCAAACCAGTCTCAGCCCATGATGTAGAAAATTCAGCCAATCCTAGTTTTTATAGCTTAAATCTATAAATTGCATACATTACTTACGGAAAAAAAATATTTTTTTTGTATAAAAGAGTGTTATCTAGTGTTGAGTAATAAAAAGAAAGCTTACGTTATTAATGGGATAGTTTTGAGGTGTCATCCTTAAGGGACATTGCTTGAAATCATGTGCCGATGTTCCAGCTGAGAAAATACGAGATTGATCTCTCAAAGCAATGATGCACGAGGGCGATGTAAGCAACAGTCGTCACCGGTAACGCATTTCCTGTGAGCCACCGCGTGTGGAGATAGCATCACAATGGATGTGTCTGCAAAACAGAACATTCTGCGGTAACTTTAACCGGTGAATTTTGTTGTGGAAATTTGCTGTGATATCGCCTTTCTCTATCGTGTGATTTAGCCTCATGATAAGACCCTCAAGTTCAATGTAGGAAACTGCAGGAAATAAAATACATATAAATGCAATTGTATGGCATGTACATTGGACTTCTTTCGCACCGTATGTAGCCAACTATGCTAATCAGAGTTGCGGACTTATATATAAATTCAGGACCATGCTGTAATATTGCCACTCCTGTCAGATGTATCCAATGATAGAGCCAAGCACTGCACGCATTACATGGAAGCGTACCTCGTGCAAACTCGTGGTCAAGTTTATTCTACTGGACGTGTGTAAAACATAGCTTTATATCTCGTTGGATTCCACCAGTATAAATATTCGGATTCTGATTTGCAAAGAAGATTGTGACATGCTCTCTCTTCATTATCGTTTAGCACGAGCGAGCTCCTGCGAGCTCTCTGGCAAATACGAGTGATGTTTACAATATCTGTGGAATTTAAGCTCGTGGGAATTTCCTTGACAGTCTTGAATAAAAGTTGGATCATATTTTTGCCATCTTGTTCATTGCTCAACCACACCAAAGCAAGACACGGTGCACACCGATCAATAACACGGACACATACATGCCAGTGGAGAGACATTAACATTCATATTTATCAAAATACGTTCATTGATGTGGAGCGGTGGTGTACACACTGCACTTAAAATCCGGCATCCTGAAGTCAGTCTGCGGACACGGCTAACGGTTGTGGCGAGCGATATTTGAACCGGTTCTGAGCCCCCACCATCCTTCACCAATCCACACTGACCAGCGAAGTGAAGAAGGGTCAAACAATCGCCACTGCTAACACTGCGACCTTCATTCTACCAATGGGTTGGCAAAGGGCAGTCGGTACATTTTTTTTTTACATTACTACGATTAAACTCACAGAAGGCCGTGGACTGTGAATACAATGTCACGTAAATTACACAAGCCGCATGGGATTTCTACGGAACGGTTTTGGCGAGGGTTTATTTTTTCTTTGTTTTGTATTCCTATTGTGCCTCCGGCAGCTTCCTGCAGAGCCGCAAGGAGGTGATCCTGCGCAGAAGCACATCGGGGAGCTGGGGGTTTAGCATCGTGGGGGGGTACGAGGAGAACCACAGCAACCAGCCCTTCTTCATCAAGTCCATCGTGCTGGGCACGCCGGCCTACAACGACGGCCGCCTCAAGTGAGCGCCACCACCTGCCACTCGTAACGCGTTCTCGGCCACTGCAGCCGCTCGCTCGCGGCGGTCTGTGGCCCTGGCGCGGCCAGATGTGACATAGTGCCAGGTGTGATGAGGGCCAGGTGTGATGAGGGCCAGGTGTGATGAGGGCCAGGTGTGACGAGGGCCAGGTGTGACGAGGGCCAGGTGTGACAAGGGCCAGGTGTGACGAGGGCCAGGTGTGACGAGGGCCAGGTGTGATGAGGGCCAGGTGTGATGAGGGCCAGGTGTGACAGGGCCAGGGGTGATGAGGGCCAGGTGTGATGAGGGCCAGGTGTGATGAGGGCCAGGTGTGACGAGGGCCAGGTGTGACGAGGGCCAGGTGTGACGAGGGCCAGGTGTGACGAGGGCCAGGTGTGACGAGGGCCAGGTGTGACGAGGGCCAGGTGTGACGAGGGCCAGGTGTGAGACGGGCCAGGTGTGATGAGGGCCAGGTGTGATGAGTGCCAGGTGTGATGAGGGCCAGGTGTGATGAGGGCCAGGTGTGATGAGTGCCAGGTGTGATGAGGGCCAGGTGTGACGAGGGCCAGGTGTGACGAGGGCCAGGTGTGACGAGGGCCAGGTGTGACGAGGGCCAGGTGTGATGAGAGTCAGGTGTGACGAGGGCCAGGTGTGACGAGGGCCAGGTGTGACGAGGGCCAGGTGTGATGAGGGCCAGGTGTGATGAGGGCCAGGTGTGACAGGGCCAGGGGTGATGAGGGCCAGGTGTGATGAGGGCCAGGTGTGATGAGGGCCAGGTGTGACGAGGGCCAGGTGTGACGAGGGCCAGGTGTGACGAGGGCCAGGTGTGACGAGGGCCAGGTGTGACGAGGGCCAGGTGTGACGAGGGCCAGGTGTGAGACGGGCCAGGTGTGATGAGGGCCAGGTGTGATGAGTGCCAGGTGTGATGAGGGCCAGGTGTGATGAGGGCCAGGTGTGATGAGTGCCAGGTGTGATGAGGGCCAGGTGTGACGAGGGCCAGGTGTGACGAGGGCCAGGTGTGACGAGGGCCAGGTGTGACGAGGGCCAGGTGTGATGAGAGTCAGTTGTGAAGGGGCAATCTGTGATGAGACCAGGTGTGACGGGGCCAGTCAGCTGGATGATTCAATCACCACTTGGTCTCACCCTGCGTTTGGACTCAACACACGCAGCTACAGAAGCTGCAGTGGCTGTTGTAGCTGTAGAGCAGCATGAGCTGAGATTTTCTCCGACATCCGTCTGAAGTGAGCGAACAGCAATCATCACCTCCCAAAGATCACAACGTTCATGCTTCTGAAGCCCGCTGTTATTTTCTCCTAAGCACACGCATTATGGCAGCCAGGTTTTGGTGTCGTCCCGGTAAAACATCCAGTACATCTCTCGCAATGGCTGTGGTTACCACTAGTCACATGCTTACTCCAGTGCACCAGCGACACGGAAAATATCCAGTGAGAAACTGAGCCCTGATTACAGTGCAGAGTTATGTTATTTTTACACTTCCGGTGGCGCAGAAACATCGACAGGGTTTTGTAAATGAAACGAAGTGATTTAATTCCCGGTTGGCCAGTGGTGTAGCGTGGTTGGCAATGAGCCCTCTTGGAAGGAATTGCATTGCTCCCCCGCCCACCCCTGTCCAACGTTTCCTCTTTTTATAGCCCACCACCTGGACCCCTCTGGTTTACTGGCCCCGGGCGCAGTTGCACCGCCTGCACACCCGCGAGCTAAACCCTGTTGTCGGTGCAACTCACAAACCGAATGCTCATTATTTGCCTTTAAAACACCAACAATATTTGGCCCACGAAGCCTGAGAATTACACATCACTGAGCTAGGCTGCTGTGGTCGGTCAGCTATACCCTCCTCTTTCACATCCGAGTCGTGTGAGCGCGGGCTGCGGGGGTGGGGAGGGGGCCTTGCAGCACGGGTGGCCTTCCAGCAGCTATTTGAGGAGCCGATCTCAAACCCAAACTGTGAAACTGGCCTTGGGACCCATCTGAATCTGGCTCGATGACAAGCGGGGCCAAAGACCCTTGGTTAATCGCTCTCATCGTACATGCGACCAGACACCTTAATTGTGCGTTACATCAGCGGCACTATGACTCGGGTTCCACCATGCAAAGAGAACCTAAGCCTCCTTCCTTCTTTCCTCACCCCCCCCCCCCCCGCCGTGGCAGGTGCGGGGACATGATCGTGGCCGTGAACGGGCACGGCACGACCGGGATGAGCCACGCGGCGCTCGTCACGCTGCTCAAGGAGCTCCGCGGGAAAGTGACGCTCACCGTCGTCTCCTGGCCCGGCAGCATCCTCTGAGAGTGCGGGCACGGCGGGCACGGAGGGCACAGCAACACAGCCACCAGCACCACCGCCACCAACGCCACCAACGCCACCATCAGCACTACAACCACCGCCACCAACGCCACTACCGCCACCGCCACTGCCACCAACGCCACCAACGCCACCAACGCCACCATCAGCACTACAACCACCGCCACCGCCGCCACCGCCACTGCCACCATCATCACTCTCACCCACCACCACCATCAGGGGTGCAGCCAGACTTATTTAAGGAGTCCTGGACGGTAGGAATAGTCCCAGTATATACGTGTATTTCAGTTACACGGAAACAAATACCGCAACTATAATTTTAATATAAACAATTCCAACGAGGATTCTAATTGGAAGCCTCGTATATTGGTTATCAGCATAGGCAGTTAAAATTGAGCCTGTTTTCTCTGCTGTATTATGATACGTATTTTTTACAACTGTTTAAAACCATTTTGGAAAAGCAGAGGTCACCTTTGGTATTAAGAGATTGGTGTGTGAGGCAGGAGACATGTCTGTTACGGCTGATTTTTAACAAACGAGAAATTAAGCATCTGGCCTTTGAGTGAATTACACGTCCAAACAATGTACTGTTCGGAGAGAGGATGAGGAATGCTGCAGTTCTAAAGAGAACACGGGCAAGGAATTGTCCCTGTAATCAGTAGGTCGTTATGCATGGGACAAGTCTGCAATGCCTAGGGAAGGTTATTGGGACAGGTGACCTTAGATTGGCGATCAAGGGGAATATCTAAAGCCAGATCGTGGGAGAATCTAAATGCTGACCTTGAATGTCAACAGCTTTGAGAGGAAAGCAATAGAGATGTCTGATGACCTCTTGACCTTGACACGATTATACATACAGTGCACAACAGAAAATGTCATGGTTACAAAGTGGAGGAAATGAAATAAAATTATTGGGTCTAATATGAAGAGGAAAATTATATAAAGTGCCTCTCCACCAGTCGGCTCATTCACAAGAGTGAGCAGATCGCATTCGCAAGGTTCCAGAGTTCACATCCTGGTTGGGCGCCAATCATCTCTCCGGGGAAAATAAAATACGTACCACTTTTGGGGGAAGTCAAGAGTGGTTGTCCGATTGAGAGACTCGCTCCCGCCATAGGAATGTGGAATTTCCACCACTGGCTCAGGGCCGTAAACAGAAGATGAGCACCATCTCAATGCAGGAAATCACTTCAGCTTGACCTATTACCTGTCTGGACAATGATTTAAAACAAGCTGCCACATTTATCTGTGTGCACCGAATCTGGCTATACCCCCAAATACCACCACAACCACCACCACAACCACCACCCCAGCATGATCTCATGAACTATGTCACTTTACTTGACCGATAAGTATTTTTCTATCTTGGATTGCTCTACGTGTGGATAGCTATCGTGTAGTATACGCTCTTGTGGCTAGCTGCCTTACAATGCTTTACCATGCAGCGGAGGATTTATTTTCCTTTTTCAAACGTATGAATTTTCCACAAACCGGGTCGTTTTATCAGCGTCGGTGTTGCAGGCACAGCATTCACAGCCGGGTTAAACTGCAGGCAAGTTACAAAAGGTTACAAAGTGATGAATGCAGCTTGCAAAGATTTCCCCCCAAGATTTCCAGTTTTGCATTACCGTTTGGAACAGACCGCCAACGAATACGTTTGGACTGAATTTTTTAATTGCTCCATGATTTTAACTGTGAGTAGTATGTACCCACAAAAACGAATAACTTTACAGAGCGGAGTAGTGGTGCAGTGGTGAACACACTGCACCATTACCATTAATGACCAATTTGATTTGCTGGCTACAGCGAACATCAGTGTTTATATCTGAATCAGTCCTGGGCTACCTCTTCATCACAGACTCGCAGTGACCGTGACTAGCACATCATTCATCTATCAGCGCATTGACTAAGGCCTGAAAAGTATTTTTTTTAAAAAGCTCCACTCACGTGAGCAAAATCTTGGAACTTTCCTCGACCAAAATCATTTTTAAAAGAAATACTTTAACGTCATTATTTCACGTTATAAGAAGGCCAGAGGCAAGAGCCGGCCACGGTTCTAATGCCACTCGCAAATAGGCTCTTAAATGACTCTCCGTCATTATAAATTCTGGGGTTTTCAGCTTATTCGGGTGCAAGGCTCACTGCCGTCGAGTAATGGCGAGTCCAATGGACTTAAAATTGCCGGTTCGATCTCCCACTGCCTCTGTCCAGCCAGCACTATAAATGGTTACCACCGCAGTCAAGGGATTTGCAGGTGGCGTTTGGTGGGGTCAAGTGTGGCTACTGCCATCCTTTCCAAGACGTCTGACCAGCGCGGAAGAGGAGGCTCTTCCGTCAGCAGTGGCATGAGCAAGACATTTCTCGGGTGCGCCCCTTACCCTATTAGGCACAAGGCCTAGTTATCAGAGCACAGCGATATCCAATGGTTTTATGGGTCCAAATGAAACTCGCAACAGTGGACAGGTGTGGGAAAATAATTCCCCATGTTAGCCGCTGAATTGTTCCCATTATATTTTAGCCTTAAACAAAGTGCCAAACAAACCTTAATATTGTTCAGCTACCTTTCATCCAGCGGATACACGAATCCATCAGACGTTGTGTTGATGTATGCACACAGAGAGATACCTTTTTAAGCTATATGCTGCATACCGTGAATCGTTTGAAAGTGCTTTGCCACCAATCGTTTGTACTGATCAATGGATAGCGAAAGAAACGAAATTGCGACCAAATGTGCACAGCAAGTTTTTTTAAAGAAACATTCGTGAATGTCAAACGGTGAAAAATCACATCTTGAAATGTCAGAAAAATATTCCCTCGGCTATAATAGCAAGTAGGCAGAGACGGTGTTCACTCGAGGTGACATTATTTCATCCCTCCCCGATTCTATGCATTCTTCCAATTTAGTATTCAATCCCGTTTTAGCTTTGTGGCTGCATACGGAGCCGATGAATTGTTGCCATTCAAGAGTTGATTCTTAACTTAAATGCTTCGTGAATGACAGCACCTCCAGTGACTGCATGGGTCACCTAGACCCATTGCCAAATATACGCGTGGAAAAAAGAAAAGAAAAGATGGAATTCGATGCACATCTCGCGAGCTTAAGAATCGCTATTAAATCGCCGACGCAATGCATAGACGCATCCCGAGTGTTCTGATGTCTGTCTCAAGCCACCGGGGGACTGCTCCTTGGTGTCTTTATTCTTACCACTGGTCCCTCAGAAATAAACAAGAAAAAAACTAGGCGTACGAACAGCGATGGGTTTATCCCGAGGTGCGAGAGCGACCGCAGAAACGTAACCCCGTGCTCCCACAGCAGAGTTCTGGTGGATTGCGATCTGTATGAGGGTCGCGCGTACGTGCAAGCGTCATCTCCGTGCCCGAAACAACAAAAAAGCGTCACTCGAAATCACGCAAGCTCAAACTATTTGCATTTTCTGCGATGCGAGAATTACATTTTTGCTTGTGGATTCAAGAAAGTGCGTACAAGTATGTGGCTGTAAATACTTTCATATACATTCTGTTACATTCCTCTTCGCAGAGACGCCCTGCGTTTTTATGTTTTTAATGGGATTTTTTAATGCGGATGGCAAAAATGCTTAGACCTTAAAAAACCAGGGCTTTGCTATTTAACATAATAATGTAATAGCTAATAGTGACCTTTAACACTCTCTAAATGTGATGTAATTATCATCTGTAAATTGTTTGCAGAGTTGGGACTTTTATTAAACACAACGCAGAAAATATGGCGTGGGCCTTTATTTATTTTGCTCCAAATACGAAGACAGCACACGCAATTACTTATAAATGCATCTTAAAGTCAATGAAAACACGTAACAATGGGCACACACACACACCCACGAACCACGGTATTTTTGCAATAATAACACTCATAAATATAGTTGTGCTCATTCAATGGACGTGACGGCAATATCAAGCTTGGACAATATTAACCCCTACATACTCGTTTACTCGCGATCATCTAAAAGCTCTTTTTATTATTCGTGTTACGTTAATATATTTTTATTACTTTAATAAACTGCAACAAAAAAAACATTCAGAAGTAACATTTGTATTATACGAAATTTCAACGATTACATTTTAACATCCAGAATCACGTTTGAGACCGTACAATTAGCACGCTCCATTAAAAAATAAATACAATACAGTTCCCGCAGCAAGGTCGAGCGATAAGTCCGCCCCGAGTGTTAGCACGCATGCACGGATGCATAAATGTTGTTCCATACACACCCCGCGCTGGGCCAGGGTGTACATAGTCCACCAATGGTGCTCTCCACATGAAGATGTGTTTTTGAGAATAATTGCGGCTTTGGGTCCTCGCTCACGGCTCAGGTTCCCACAAGGCATTAAAGGCGGAAAATGTTCACACTAAACAGACGCACGCACGCGCGTGCGTGCCTCCGGACCTGCCAACTTTCTCGTGAAAAATACAGCCAGCCAAAAAAAGTCAACCTCATAAGGCACGCAAAAAATATATATAAATATAGTTACAACCATCAATATTTTTGTTTTTTTTTTCTTACAGAACCCAGTACTTTAACCGCTTCATTTAAAGCTTTGTACCAACCCCTTAAAACAATCTGACTTCAGCCCTTCAGTGGGAAGATGCCGGTAACTTGCAGCGAGCGGCAAATCTGACCTTTGGTCCGACAACCTCTGGTCGAGAGGTGCCCTCTCAGGCCACGTGGGGGGCACCGTCCATTGTGTCATCTTGGTTGAGCATCACCCCGCGGTGTGTGTGCGGCGAGTGCGGTGTGTGCAGTGGGTGAAGTTGGTGCGGTGCGTACGATGGGTGCGGTGTGTGCAGTGGGTGAAGTTGGTGCGGTGCGTACGATGGGTGCGGTGTGTGCAGTGGGTGAAGTTGGTGCGGTGCGTACGATGGGTGCGGTGTGTGCAGTGGGTGAAGTTGGTGCGGTGCGTACGATGGGTGCGGTGTGTGCAGTGGGTGAAGTTGGTGCGGGGCGTACGATGGGTGCGGTGTGTGCAGTGGGTGAAGTTGGTGCGGGGCGTACGATGGGTGCGGTGTGTGCAGTGGGTGAAGTTGGTGCGGGGCGTACGATGGGTGCGGTGTGTGCAGTGGGTGAAGTTGGTGCGGTGCGTACGATGGGTGCGGTGTGTGCAGTGGGTGAAGTTGGTGCGGTGCGTACGATGAGTGCGGTGTGTGCAGTGGGTGAAGTTGTTGCGGGGCGTACGATGGGTGCGGTGTGTGGAGAGGGTGAAGTTGGTGCGGGGCGTACGATGGGTGCGGTGTGTGCAGTGGATGAAGTTGGTGCGGTGCGTACGATGGATGCGGTGTGTGGAGAGAGTGAAGTTGGTGCGGGGCGTACGATGGGTGCGGTGTGTGCAGTGGGTGAAGTTGGTGCGGTGCGTACGATAGGTGCGGTGTGTGGAGAGGGTGAGATGGGAGTGGTGGCCATTCAGCCCCTCAGCCTCAGCACAGGCTGTGCTCCTCCGAGCCGGCCAGCTCCTCCCTGTGCCGGAGCCGGTGGTTGCGGTGCCTGCGGTGCCCAGCGGCCGTCACCTCATCACTGCCGCCGCCTTCTTGCCGACGGCTGCAACTAATGACAGAGACAGCCGTATCGGCATCCCGCCGAACTAATCGCCACACTCACCGCTCACCGCGTGCAACGGATAAGGAGGTGGGGGGGGGGACCAGAGAACGACATGAATAATTCATGCTGCTACTGTCCTTTCTCCAACACTCCTTGGTTTTCACTTTAATAATTTGGACGTGCAGTGTTAATCTCTCACTTAGCAGGTGAAGGTGTTTTCTCCGTCGCGCAAATAATATACGCTTACTGTATTCTCCCGCACGATAAAGCCCACTCCGGAATCAAAAGATGCACGCCAAAACTCTTGTCCTGGGTGTCTGTGTACGTTGAACTTCTTTGGCACCGTACGTAGCCAACTATGCTAAGAGGTGCGGGCTTATATATAAATTCAGGACCATGCTGTAATAATGCCACTCCTGTCAGATGCATCCAATGCTACAGCCAAGCACTGCACGCATTACAAGAATACATTGAAGAAATATGGTCTCTCGTCAGCGCGCACCTACACTTAACGGATTGTGACACACCCCTCAATTTGTGCTTTACAAGAGGGCGGAAGAAAGTGATTCATAATCCGCAAAATGTGGCAGTTGTCCGTCGAATGTGTGCGCAATTAAACCACCATCAGCCTTGCAGGAAGAGGAGAGGGCATGGGGGGGGGGGGGCAAGCCGAGGGTGGAAGCGAAGCGAAGAAGGGAAGGGTGACTGGTGAGGAAATTTTCTCAAACATTGATCGTGACGGGGCCACCAGCAAGCGCCTCCACGCAGCGTTAATGAGCGCGCGCGAGGCGACGCAGACCTGTGGAGCTGTTGACAGCAGCTGTCTGCCCTGTTGTCCCGGTCGTGACGCTGATTCTCCCACGGCCTGTCCTGGCCACGCGCCGTCTCCCATTGGTCACGGCCGCCGGCGAACTCCGCCGAGCTCCCCACGAGCGCCTCGTGTCCTCCTCCGTGAGCTCTGCAGAACACGCACCCTCCCTCCTGCCGCCTGCGATCCACCTCCTCCACTACCTCCACCACCTCTTCCACCACCTCCACCACCACCTCCTCCTCCACTACCTCCACCACCACCTCCTCCTCCACTACCACCACCACCACCACCTCCTCCTCCTCCCCCTCCACCACCACCTCCACCACCACCACCACCACCTCCTCCTCCTCCACCACCACCACCTCCACCACCTCCTCCTCCCCCTCCTCCACCACCACCTCCACCACCACCTCCTCCTCCCCCTCCTCCACCACCACCTCCACCACCACCACCACCTCCACCACCTCCACCACCTCCCCCTCCACCACATCCTCCTCCACCACCACCACCTCCTCCACCACATCCTCCTCCACCACCACCACCAACTCCTCCACCATCGTCTCCTCCTCACTGCGGGAGGCATCCCTACGCGCTCCCCCGCCCCCATCGTTGAGCGCAAATCAAAAACCAGAACCAGGTACTACCCTGCGGCACGGTGACTTTTTAGAAACTATTTACTTTTATGTTTAATAGCTTAACTTTTAATTGGCGAATAAGCGAGTCGTTTTGGCATTGGTTGTGCACTTTGGTTGTGTGTATAATGATTTGCTTTGAAGGTAGATTCACATATTGTTCATTAGCCGTTGTGATTAATATATTTCTATACTGGGAACAAATTCCATACCGTGACATTCAAAACACGTCCCTTTTCACGCCATTTCTCGCTCTGCTCAACAAGTTCTCATCAGCGTGCTCCTCTCATCGAATACACCTCAGTGGTGCTGTTTGTTGCTGTCCCGCTTGGGTGCCTTTCGACATTTCGGCCTGTGCTCAGCGACCGCGATTAAAAAAAAAAACATGATTTTCTCATTCCTGCACGGCACGCTATGCTTCTGGGCTGCCAGCATTACAGCTTGTTTGGCACCATTACAGACTGTATGTACGTACGTGTGTTGAACTTCTTTCACACCGTACGTAGCCAACTGCGCTAATGTAAGCCTGGTTGGCATCGCAAAGAAACTGCCCTGTAAACGAAGGTTTCGCGGATTCATCAAATTTTTAGGTTATACTGCATAAGTAAAATGCTGTGTCGTATAGCCTCCTCTACCCCGACACGGCCAATAAATAAAGTTGTCACGTGGTGAACAAACGTGCCAATTTATTAACTACTTCAGCCGTACCACCGGTGTTGTTTGAGAGGCATCCACACCACGTTTAACAATTCAGTGTAAACGTTTTGCTGCTAGTTACAAACAGCATCAGGCAGTTGCCAGAATTTTGCGCATATATCAAATACCCTCGAGTCTCGGGGGAGCCTTACAATAGGTATAACTGCGTGATATCACGCAACATGATTTCGAAAGTCAATACAGCGCACGATATATTATGAATGTAAGTGCCCCTCAAAACATGTATTTTGTGCAAGAGGGCCATCTCCATAGGGAATAATGTAGCCCGTTACACCACAGGCCCTTACGTCAAGAATTCAGTGGCTGCAGAAGAACATTGTGTGTTTTTTTTTCTGCGCTTTTTTAACAGCGGACTGTTTTTTGCTTATGTTTCCATGCTAAAATGTATGGCCGTGTGTGCTGTTGTTCTCTCCGTCACAACATTTTACTCCCCCCCCTCCCCCCCATGATTGCGGAGATCGGTGGCCTTGGTCCGAAGTGGCCCACGTTGCTCAACGAAAAACTCTGCGATCGCGTAGCGGCCACGGCGTTCCATCACTCAAACGAGAACAGAGCGCACGTAAAAGCCGGGACATTTTTTGAATTAGATATTGATGGGAATTAAATTATATTGCACTGCGCCCAAGCAACCTAATACGGGACGCCCCGCTGCCCCGTGACGCTGGACGCAATTCACGGGTTCGCTTAAGTGGTTTTTACAGGCGCTTTACTGTAAAAGCGACCGAATTTACCACTCCCAATGAGCTTCGCTAAACTCTTAACTGGGGAGCAATACGTTTTAATGCAGGTGTCACTTCATTAGTAACAACCCTCCCCCAATGCCCGACTTGTCCTCAGAAGACTCCTGCACACCGAGACAATAAGGCACGAGGACTTAACGTAGACAGAGCCACTCGCAGTCGAGGCCAAGATTGCGGTCACCTCGCTTGCACTCCGGCGGCGCTCGCAGAACCTCGCGGTTTGGTGAACAAATTTCCGTTGATGAAAAAGAAAACACCCCTCCTCCCCTCTCTATGCATGTGTGTATGTTGAACTTCTTTCGCACCGTACGTAGCCAACCGCGCTAAGCGGAGAAGCTCCTCTAGAAGATTCCTCGAGTGGAGGCACCTCTGCTAGCAGTGGCGTGAGAAAGGTGAAATCCTGCAACTGCTTTGCCCGAATAATAGAAACAAAAATAAACATGTAGACAACAAGTGTACAATCAGGAAGGCCCAGCATGCTTTGCATGTCAAGATATCGGCACCCTTCCTGCGCACATTCTGCACACAATCAAACTATAAACTAAACTATTTTTAAATCCTTTATATTAAGTTCACTTGCTTGTGCGCTTACGACCGTGCAAATCTTTCGGTCGTTTTTTAACCCACCTCCCGTGATCCAATCGAGCTGACATTTTGCACACAGACTCGTTGTGCGAGACAATTAATGTTCCTGAATTTTTTTTTTCAAAATTTTACACTGTTTAGGGAAAACAAATTAAATATTTAATTACCAATTGCTTAATACTGGCAGACAATCATCTGACCCATAGGTGGCAGCCATCTCAAGCCAGAGGACGAGAGGACTCTAGCCGCCATGCATATAAAGGATTTATAGTGAAAAACTTTGTTTTTACGGGTTATACTTATTTATATTTTACCAGTTAAAGCCCACTGAGCTATATAGCTCTTCTCAGAAGTGACCTGAACACAAGTGGTAGCTCAACGAAGTGGCTTATCGTGTGGAAATGTATAGCAGCCAAATACTCTAAACGCATGTTTCTAAATGTGGAGAAAAAAACCGGAGGAGCCAGAAAAAAATCCACGCGACTACGGGGAGAACATGCAAACTCCAAATATACAGGCGTCCAGGTCAGGAACTCAACTGAATTCAAGAACTGAAGTCACGGTCAGAGAGAGCCATGCAGCGTAACTGTGAAAGATCTGCTCAGCAGCAGCACCTTATCGCGTATAATCATCATTTAATTTCTGGACCGCGTTATTTTTTGCACGAGGCCGACCAGTTTCCACACGAGTTGGAGAAAGTGCTCGAATTTGAATTGGCCAGCACTGGGCATTCCCCTTGGCCCCCCCCACCGACATGCCCCCCCCTCGCTCCCTCTGCCGCTGTTAACCGTCTGCGTCGAGAGGAAGCTGAATGTGGAGTGCGGGAGGGGGTCAGGACGCTACCCGTTGCTGCACGTGGCGGGCATGGCGCCGCTCAACTGGCCAGCGAGGGCCACGTCGCGGGCACACTGCTGCATGTAGAGGTCCCAAACGGCAGCGGCGCCCGATCTCCTGAGCAACGACGGCCAGCCCAGCGGTGTCTGCCCGGGGCTTGGCGTGTAGCTCAACCCCAGGGCTACGTTCGTTGCGGAGGAGAGAAAATAAACAAATGTGAGCCATCGCCATTAGGCGCGCAGCAATTCACATCGCCCACACACACCGGCAATTGAGCGAAATGTCACGATTCGGTGTCACGTTTTTCCATTCAAGAGCCCTGTCGTTATTTTTGAGTCGCTCGTTAACGGAGCCTCGTTTCTGTACGGCCTCGTACGCTACGCGTGACTCGGGTGAAGAGCGGTCGCACGTTAGCAGCCAACGACGGGAGTTTGATTCCTGGCCATGGCTAACATAAGTGAGCAAATTATATTTTAGCCGGTCGTGGGCACCCACCCCTTCCCCCAGTACCAAACCGCACTGTGGAACAATGGGGTGAAGTATGTTCATGACCGGGACAAGCAGTGCATTGACCAGAAGCTTTAGATTATATAATGTGTCTCATTTGTAATTTATATCTTGTGTTATCGCCTTATCCTGCCTCATCTTGTAGTTGTGCATCTCGAATTGTATCGCCTGCCTAGTTCATACTCTACTTTCTAATTTGTACGATTATTTAATTGTCTATACTGTACCCTTTCACTCACTAATACTGTCAATTTGCTATTTTCTTAATCGTGCGTCTCATTTATATTCTCTATCATATTTCATCAAGTCAGTATTGTCCGACTCAATTGTTCCATTAGCTAACATGTATTTTAGTACTATAATTTACAAACTGTTCGTACGAATCCCGAACAACCAAACCTTACACGCACGATTCTACGCTCGTACCGCGAACAAAAGAATGGACGGTTCGAGAGACAAAACGTTACGTGGCGAAATCATCGGCGCATAAACGCCCACCTGAGTTGCTTAGCGCACTCACTTGCTTAGCCAAATTTCACGGGACGTGGGGGGGGGGGGGGTCGATGCCGCGATTCCCGGCAGCCGCGCGGTAATTTCTGCGGGGAATTAGCGAAGTGAGCGGTCTGCTGTTGTAAAACGGATGTTAAATACCCTGTGGCATCGTTCGCCAAAGTAGGCGTTTACGTTCCGGCGCTAGAGTGTGCAATCCCAAGAATGAAAAACCGCTCGCAAATTGCTACAAATTGACAACATTCGCTGCTTAGCGTATGCCGGCTTCCTCCGTGCGGCTCTGTTGCTCGACTACATTGGCGTGCAACCTTAATCCACCCCACCGCCGCTCGGAAGCAATGAGTGCACAAAAACAAACACGAACACTTAAATATTAATGACCTCAAGAGATACAATACCCTTATACATTAGAAATTAGAGGTCGGTTACAAATATCCGAGTCTTGTTTTAATGATGATAAAAGTAAAAAAAAAATGTCATAACATAACGTACAAAACGCACCCACCAATTATATTTTGAACGAACGTAATTTATGGCGGCACTTACCGTTGTAGTCGTACGCGTGAGCCATCGCACCATCATAGCTCGGAAAGCTTTAAAAAAGAATAAAAATAGCATGTGTGCACTTTGTAAATCAATTTATCCCGCACGTTAATCCATTGGAAACGATGTCGCTTGCAGCGAGATACCGCCGTGCGACACGTATTTTAAGCCTTTTTTTTTATAAATCCGTACATCAAATTAAAATTCGCCGCGTACGATTGTGAAGTAAATGGTAATCAAGAGTGAAACGGTTGACAATCCTGGACGCATTTAAACGATTGCGAGCGCAGCCGTATAAGTCGGATGTTATTTTAATTGAAACTCACCTTTCCGCGGCATTGAGGACAGCAAATAAATTGGATGGGGAAATACCTGTGAAAGCCGCGTGCCCTGAAACAAATGAAAACGGCGATCGGTGAGAAGGGCACATACACCTAATGAAATGGGACTCGTGCAGAAACTGCCGCCTCAGCACCAAAGGCGGAATAAAAAATTGTAACGGGATTAAAATGGCACTAACGACTGAAAAACACGACGCGGTCCATGTTTCGGCTTAGAGGGCCTACCCCTTTTAAGACTCCGTTGGGAACCTTGATGGAAACCCTGTCCAGCTACTATTGACAAAAGCAACTGCTAATTTTATATGTTGTTTGTGTTTGCAAGAGGTGTGCACGAAGCGAATTGGGTGCAAGCGCAGACTTTGCCGCCTTTGATTATTTATTCCACCTGTCTCGTTGAAATACTCAACGAGTTAATCGCCTTTCCGCACGCGCGCGGTGACCAGCCTCCGTGTTCGGCCACCGCTAAGTAAGCCGCCCGTGCCGTCTGATTGTGATTGATGCGACAGCGCGGCCTGACCTCGTAGAACGAGCGGCGCTCGCTCGCCCAGTGACGGACGCGGGGGCAAAACAAACCCGGCTCGATTTTTATTTCATTTCGTTATATTGAAGTTTTTTTTCTCTCTCTCTCGTCCCTTTTTTTTCTCCTGTCAATTATATTCCAGTGGCGCAATCGGTGTCACGCCACGACGGGGCGGAGACGCCGCGACTTCGGAGCCGCGCTCGCGGAAAGCGGAGCAGCGTCACCCCCGTGACGGACAACGGCCTCTGCAAGAGGACATCAAAGAACCACCTCCGAGATCGATCGAGTTGCCCGTTCATCCATGTTCCGCGCCGCACTTTCTCGAGTGCGATGCCAGAGGCGTCCGTCTCACGGGGGATCAAGCCCAAATATTTGTCAGTGACAAACCACATTCACTATCGTGGTTGTTTGTGTGTTTAGTTAAGGACGACCCGATTGAGTAATCACAGCACTACACTTTAATCATGGGTGGCCATCTCTGTTGTTCATCTCAGGATCTCGGGAGGTGCTGCTGGGCTCAGTGTTCTGTCACAATTAAGCCCTTGGGCCACCAATACCCCTTATTCCACCGGCATGTCCGACCTGTGCCAGCACGGAGGCCCTCGCGGTACAGGTGGTTTTCCCACAGGCTATTTTGCCCTGCCAAGCTGCAACCAAATCGTGATATGCCGACATCTCAATCTGGCACGGGGTCAAGCAAGGCCAGGGGTAGGACAAACATCACGGTTGTCGCGTGCGACGCTAGTCGGCACGGGGGCACGGCGTCTCCATGTCCCCTGCATGTGTCCCAACTCGTCACGTTGTGTGACGTCAGCGGCATGGCTCGGCTTTTGCTGTGGATAAAAAAAACCAACCTAGCTCGGCACGGCCGTGGCATGCTTTGGCAGCGGATGGGGCAAACGGCGACAAAAACCGGGCAAGCCTGCCCACACGTGACGCACTCACCTGCTTGATGCATGGCCTGCAAAACCTCCGCGGTGAAAGGAGAGGGTGGCAGGAATGTGGGTGACAGCGTAGGGAAGGACTGCTGATGAGCTATGTTCGGAGGGAAGAAATGTGCCGCGTTCTTGTGCACATCGAATTCCAACTGCTGCACGATCTGCTGCAGCCCATCTGGAATCTGCGCGAAAGGTTACCGAAGCATTGCAAGTCCTCGAGTGCAAGATCATCCTCTGGTATGAAATATCAACTAATGCGTGGAATGTTTTTAACATACACGGTTTTTTTTGGACAGTCGTTCAAAAGTAATCTTGATGAATCCTCCAAGTAATTGTATAATTCTAATAGTAACGCCCATTATAGTTTACCCAGGAAAGCACGGCTCAGTCGCAAGGCATTGTTGAGCTTGTGGGAGGAAAACCGGAAAAGAGAAATCCCACCACATCACACGTCCCGGCGGGCTCGCGGGCACAAATGAAACCCCAATACCTTGATGATCTCATCAAGGAGCATAAACAATCATCACGCGAACTCCGGTCATCCTCGCAGCAGCGCCTTTTGGCTAGCCATCGAACAAAAACGGTCACTGCACTGCACCCTTTCGGATGCACTTCTGCGGCGGTCTGGAATACCCTTCCGCTATTAAATCTAGATTGAAAACTCATTTATTTCGAACTTTTTTTGCGTGTTTAGTTTGTTGTCCTTGCCCCACACCTCCAATTAGCACGGTTGGCTACGTACGGTGCGAAAGAAGTTCAACATGCGCGAGTGTGCGTGCTCACCACGTGCGCGTGGGCCTGTACCGCGCTGTCCTCACACAGGCCTCCGTCCACTCGCACCATCTCATCCACCGCCCCGTACCTGCTGCTGCTGCTGGTGCTGCTGCTGCTGCACAAAAGTCACTTGGCGTTACGGACACGGCAGATGGCTTCAGTGACTCGAACATGGCAGGTAAACCGTTTAGATGAATGGTACATCACTTGACTACGAGTGCGCACCTACGATTAGCACGGTGGGCTATGTACGGTGCGAAATAAGTTGAACATACATACGCATATCACGCTCGCTCTCTCTGCCCGCTACCACTCTAACCTCCTCTTGTCCTATGCGGAAATTGGTCGGGTAATATTCCACCCCTTTCATTCGCTGAGTGGTGACACTCAAGCTTACAGAGGTTGAAACGCATGCCTTTGGATAATAAAACCCCAACTCGGGAAAGGCACTGCTCAGTCTGCACCAAAGCAATGGACGGACTATGCGTCGAGTGTGATGGAACTGGGGGTGGCGGATGCTCTCAATGACAAAACGGTTTCATTTTCGATCCAGCGGGAACGACTCAAGTCGCTATTCCCGAGCCTCAGACATTTCCTCCGAATCAATGAGGACCTTTATTTTTATTACGGCAAGTCTCTTCAAACATTGCGTACATCCATCACCGCAGTGTTTGCTCGAAAACTCTTAATTGCCAAGTGAAATGTAATTATATTTCGAACCGAATTCATCTTGGCCACTGTAAAAAAAAATCTAAAACGTGTGTATGTGTGTGTGTTTGAAGGCAGTGGTGTAGAGGTTCAAACACTGCGCAATGAATCCGGCAACCCGAGTTCGATTCCCAGCCACGGCTAACATCAGTGGAGTTTATCGACACTCGTCTTATAAACATTGGCACTGGGAAGACAACGGAAGGAAGTTGTGGTCGCGGCTGACCACCCCACCCTCCACGCGTGCCATGTCGGCCTTCATTGGTGCTCCCCTAACAGTACTAGGCCCAAAAGCCTATATATGAGACTATGCGCAGAATCTTTGTATTTATCTTTGTCTGCAAGTGTACACTCACCTCAGCTTTGATAAATCATTACCTCTCTGAGAGTAGGCCAGCCTTGGCTTTGGCCCTGGATGCATCAAAGTGCACCTCGTTTCGGTGTTGCACATCGTTAGTGACTCCATTGTTCAGCTGCTTCGAGTGGGCCTGATGACACAAGGAGGTAAAAGAGGCATCAATCATTGCCTTCATTTACTGCACCTTCACTCGTGACCAATTCGCACTCGAGATTGCTTTTCGCGTGGCAAAGTTCAAAGAACTTTTCTCCGAGTACGTGTCAATTATGGTCGGTCTCACGATGCCTCGTCAGACGCGATAAAGCGGACTCGGACTTTTTAGCTGTCTCAGTGCCAAGTGGCCTTTTCTCGCTCTCCTTATTGTTGAAAGATCCTAATGCCGTGCGCTTTTTTGACGGAACTTATTTCTTACCGCGGCGAGAAATGCAAGATTGATATACCGCGGGACTTCTCCACGCAGCCAATGAAAGATTCTCACTTGGCCACATTCCCAAGTGGAGCCAACCACGAGTCCGCTCGTAACATCCTCACTTATATCCCCCCCCACCACCACTACCGCCACCCACCCCAGTCTCATCGCCAAGTACAGGGTGATCCATTTCGAGATAGTTAAGACCTACGATGTGATCCGGCTCAAATGAGCATCGAGGTGGTGCCCTCCTTCTCCCGCTTACAGCTCTGAGCCAGTGGAGGGAATGCCACATTCCTCTTGACGATAGCGAGTCTATCCATAGGACAACCACTGTGGACTTCTGCAGAGTGGTGCTCATTTCATAGACCCAGAAGGAACGATGTGCGGAGTCCATTCCCAACCACCGCATCCACACGCTTTCTGATACGCTTCTGCGGCCGTCTGGAACGCTCTTCCTCCCGATATTAAGACGCCACTGGTGCAGTGCACTTTTAAATCATCTCGATTGAAAACTCATTTCTTTAGAGCTGCCATTTGTGTTGAGTTTGTTATCCTTCCCCCGCACCTCCAATTAGCAAGGTTTGGCTACGTATGGTGCAAAAGAAGATCAATATACGTACGTACATACATACATACAACTGTTGAGTTGTAGACGGAGGTACTCGGAGACGGAGGTTGAGTTAGGGGCTTCCGCCAGGGTTTATTAACACTTATCACTAACCCTGGTTCCCTCTTTACCCCTTCCACTATCCCCGTTCCTCCAGTGACCCCGCTTACGTCACGGGGTCTCCCTTAAATACCCTAGGAGGGGTGACGTCACGTGCACTGCCCAGCGCGTGCGACCCCACGTCCCGTGAGGTCACCGCACCGGACAGCGCACACGACGCCACCACTCTCCTCTACTCCTCTACGCAACCATAAGTTGAATTCACTGCTTCCAATTGTGGGCCGCTTGCTCTACCGCTGATCCAACTGACCGGATTATAGATGCCCCACTGAATTATAAATACCACCTTACTCTCTTCTCAACAAGTAATTTAATACTGTGAATGTGATTGCTCCATATCTTACGGGGGGGGGGGGGGGGAGGCTAAAATATTTACTAAGTGTTCTGAGATCAGTGGGTGAGGTGGAGAGGCATGGAAATAAATTGCAACTTTTGCTATAAAATGGATTCCCATTATTTTTAGTGGGATATCTATAAATTAATAACACTGCACGATTGAATCAAGATTAAATGCAAACAGAAATGTCAGACTCTTTGTTGCAGCTTGTGCAGAGACCAGGCTTGTGACCATCCAATCAAACGTAAATAATTCTGTTCAATTCAAGTCGGAGGCGGTCTTTGTTTTGGGCCAAATCCGTAATCTCTTCAGCCACCAAAAAACAGCCAGGGGCAGAATCTCACTATTCTACACACACAGACACACACACAACATCAATACAAAAACTACAAGAACGTTCTACATTTCACAACATTAATGACACATTATATCTCACTCAACACACCGACAAGATACTTTAACTTCAGAGTATTAAAAATGCGATACGTTCAAAACCAAGTCCATTTGTAATCAACGTATCTTTGGAAGCTCTTTCACACAACAGTCAAGTGACATGAGCAACGCTAATGAGTTGGGATCTGACAAGGGCCTAACCACGATGCATAGAACCCCGTGCCAAATATTTAATGCACCGTGTTTTATGGGACCGCAATGTTAATATAATGTGACCGTGCTACATTGCACAATGTCAATGAAGCTTGCTGCCAGCGTGCATTCGTTTTCAAAGGGCAAAAGCGGGAAAGGTACAGCTCTGCAATTGCTTGCGCACGCCACCGCTTTGGAGGCTATTTTGGCCTACTCCACCAAGCTGGCTAGATGTGTTACAAGCGGTGGCAGCACCCTAGCTTTAATGCTGTGGCGAGATGTTAACTACCTCGCCTGGTATACAGGAGGTCGTGGGTTTGATCCCGACGCCTGCTGCTGTATATTTGGAGTTTGCGTGTTCTTCTCCCCATTGCCACGTGGATTTTTCTCGGGGTCCTCCGGTTTTTCCCCTCCACATTTATAAACATGCGTGTTTAGAGGGTGTTTGGCTGCTAGAAAATTCCACGCAATAAGCAGCTTCACTGATAGCCAGGTCGCCTCTGAAAAAGAGCTATACAGCTCAGTGGGCCTTACCTGTAACAATAATAGTTTAGTTTTAGTTTCGCACCATAATCGACCTGCCGATTGACGGACTACAATATGCCCTTCATACAGTATGATGGACAGAGGCGAAACATTTTTAGAAATTTGCCCATTCCATCGCGTCAACTGCCACACCGGCTGATTGAACTGTGGCAACCGTCTCGATTGCAAGCCGAGCGCGTGTCACCGTTACGTCACGGCAGCTCTCCTCGCGGTGCACTTGGGGACGACGGAAAAAACCGGTGAGTAGAATGAGAACGGAAACTACCGTCAAATAACCGTGCGTCGGTGTTTCAAGGGCCTGCACACGAACGGGGCCCCATTACCGTTGCGCGCATGAAGCCGCAGCTTTTGGCGGGGACATGGTCGAGACCCATGCGCAGGCACCTCTGCTTCTCGCAGTACGCGGTCCATGTCTCCTCGGTGAAACCAAAGTTGAAGAAATCAGATGGGTCGGTGCCTGCACGCGAACAAGACGATGCATCATTGTCGTCGTCGCCGCCGCCACCACAGTAACAATAATCGACTAGTTTAACACGTAGGCTTTCACGACGAATATCATCCATAACAGAGGGTTTTTTTTTCGGTTAGATCGCGTAAATGTATAAAAGTGTCATTAAAGCCGTCACCACCCGATGCAGCCAACTAGTAAGGGTTGTCACGTAAACAGAACGTGGCCAATTCGTCACTAGTACAGCACTAACCGGTGTGTTGGAGAGCCAAGCCACAACATTTACAATCTGAGTACCCCATTTCGCCAGTAATTACAACCAGCTTCATCAGGCGACAGCCAGATTTGTGGAGAAGTCCACCTGTTTTCGTTTCTTCACACCATCACCCTGCACAAATAGCTACGGACTTAGTGCTGTGGAAGCGAATCATCAAATAATACATTGTTTAAATGCATGCCTATAGAGGCCACCACACTTCAATAGGGATGACAGTTGGTACGGCTATTTTAATACACACGTTGGACAGGAAGGACACGATCAAAGGGCTCGCATAATGCACATGCATAATGTACGTTGGCTCATTAACCCCCCCCACTTTGCCAAAAGCGCAGAAGTGTGGTCACCACATCTATGCCTCTATATAAGGAATGAAACAGGTGGACTTCTCCACAAATCTGTCTGTCGCCTGATGAAGCTAGCTTAATTACTGGCGAAACGTCGTACTCAGATTGTAAATGTTGTGGCTTTGCTCTCCAACACACCGGTGTGCTGTACTAGTGACGAATTGGCCACGTTCTGTTTTCGTGACAACCCTTACTAGTTGGCTGTGTCGGGTGGTGGTGGGTTATAACGACACATTTATATATTTACGCGATCTAACCCAAAAAAAACTTCTATTATGAATAATCTACTAGTGACGCGCCGCTGATAAAAGTATTCGTTCACTCTTGAAGGCACGAAAGGCAGGAGGAACCACAGACGAGCAGGAAGCCAGGCCACGTGGCTGACCAAGTGTCAACAATTGCCCAAGCTCTGTGGACCTCTATATATGAAGGTCTTATTGGCCAATTAAATTCATCAGGTGTAAAAAGACACAGCAAAATAACTGGTTATGAAGGAAGCTTGTGTTGCCTCCGAAACGTCGTGATTTAATTGATTTATTTTCATTTATTATTATTATTTTATTTTTATTATTTTTTATCTACGTGACTTTACCGAAAAAACCTAAGAACATGAATCATACAATGTTGGCGTTCGTTGTATTGTAGCCTGGGGGGGGGGATGGAAATCCGAGTCAACCCCTGACCGGGATTTGAACTCTCCAAACCCTCTGATTGCAAAATCATGAGCTCAAAACACCCGCAGCAACTCTCCGCTAGATGCATGACAATAACGCGTTGGGTAAAATAAAAATACAAATAAATAAAAGCATTACGGTGCATGTCTTCGCCATGCGGCAATCTGTGGAGCCTGTCAATTTTTAAACAACGGAATGGCAACACACCCATCCAATCACACCTACGAATTATGAATGAGGAGAAAATTAAACAAATAATGTCCAAGTGGACAGACGACAGTCTGGGTGACGATACTATTAATGAGTGTGTGGCAAGTGAAAGGAAACTTCAGATTACCCAGAATAAGCTGGCACGCAGGAATGGATAATAAGGCTCGACACAAATGGATTCAATAATTCATTGCTGTGCTACATCTGCTGGCCACATCACTGTCAAACCCTGCCACAATTTGTTTTAGCCATGTGACCAAACATTGCCAAGATATATTTTCATGCCAAGCTTGCGAGATTTGGCCCGGGCCGAACACATCGTTGTCTGCTTGTGGGAATGTAGCCTCCACCCAAGGGTTAACACCCACCCATAGCGTACTCTTGCGGACGGCGCGGCGCACACGCCTTTGCATTTAGAGATAACGTCACATCTTTTGGCCATCAGGAATCACAATAAGGCCGCCACTGTACGCACCGGTAGGGGCCATAACCCAAGAACAATGCGCCATTGCAGCCCCCGTGCATCAGGACACCTCGTTGTGTTTTCCACGCCGTTAAAATGCGGGCGGCATCTCCAAACGCTGCGCAGATTAATTACAGGGATATTCGTGAAATTGGCAAACAGCTCAGCGGAGGATAAAAAGACCGGCAGATGGAATATAAAACGGCGTTTGTTAGTTATGGCCGTGGAAAGAAGCCTGCATGCGATAGACAGCGAGGGGGCGTCACAATAAAGAGGGGATTCCTCATCACAGAACAACTAAATCCACGGGGAAGGGAGCGCGTCTGATACATCTAAGAGTAACAATTGATGTCAGAGGAATATTAGCTTCTAAAGATAATGGTGCGCTAGGTTACAGAGCCCTGTGAAAACTAATGGAGATCTTACAGTGAATTTGGCTCGTGCCCCGTGAGCAAGGTTCATTATAAATCCTAATTGTATACAGAAAAAATCCGCGACTACCCACATTGGGTGTGGCGAATAGATCATGCGCAAATTTAACGGAAAACTATCAGTCATTCCTCTAATGGTATTGGTAAAGTCCATCAAATTCCAATGCTTTGGGCAAGAATCAATTCCGAATTATGCCAAGATGCAATTCGACGGCTGCATTTCAAATCAATTCCAATCCATTCGGTCAATGCTTAGGTGAGCGGTAAACACACACCGGCCGAAACATTGCTCAGTAAGATTAATGTGCATTTTACTCACTCGCATGCCAATCCGGTGTCGTGGGTGTAACTGAAAGCACAGATGGCTTAATTGTTTTAATAGGCGTCATATTCGCTGTGTAATGTTTTAGTTAGCTGCCTCCATATCCCTCGCCAATATAACACGCAGCTACATTCACTGCACAAACCACCAGAATTGATGTTGAGCTAAAGCCAATTATGTATTATCGCACACAACAACAACAACAAGACCTAACAAGCGCGTTTGCACACATACACACACACATACAGAAAACCCAACAGCTACATTACCAACTTAAAGTCATCCGCAATTGATTACCAATTAAATGTGTTTTACAATGCTATACAATGCACCGCAAAGAGTAACAATGTAAGCCAAGTGCTGGCCATGGACACGAGTGTGGGTATTTATTAAAGCTCGGCTGCCTCATTTGGCAGCACACGATGAGAATTCAAAATGAACCTTGAGAGCACCGAGGTGCAGTGGTGGCGGCGGTAGCAGCGGCAGCAGCGGTGGCAGCAGCGGTGGCGGCGGCGGTGGCGGCAGCGGTGGCGGCGGCGGTGGCGGCGGCGGTAGCAGCAGCGGTAGCAGCGGCAGTAGCAGCGGCGGTAGCAGCAGCGGTAGCAGTGGAAACAGCAGCGGCAGTAGCAGCGGCAGTAGTAGCGGTGGTAGCAGTGGAAACAGCAGCGGCAGTAGCAGCGGCAGTAGCAGCAGCGGTGGCAGCGGAAACAGCAGCGGCAGTAGCAGCGGTGGCAGCAGCGGTGGCAGCAGCGGTGGCGGCAGCGGTGGCAGCAGCGGTAGCAGCGGCGGTAGCAGCGGCGGTAGCAGCGGCAGTAGCAGCAGCGGTAGCAGTGGAAACAGCAGCGGCAGTAGCAGCGGTGGGAGCAACGGTAGCAGCGGAAACAGCAGCGGCAGTAGCAGCGGCAGCGGCGGCGGCGGTAGCAGCGGCGGCGCTCAACAAAAGCACAAGCGGCGGAAACGTGAAGACGGTGCACAAGCGACTACCCGCACGACGAGCAGCCACGTGCACGTTCGTCAAAACCAGCGGAGCTTGGCCACCGACCCTGCTGAAGGTTGAAATAAAACTACGGCAGTAAAGAGTTTGGCGCCGCCGGTACGGCTGGCGTTGGTTAAGGTGCTTGCCACGCATCGCTCGGCACGAACAACCTCGTACAAGGGCGCAGCTAACTTTGAGATGGCGTTTAGCGGTCATCAGCAAAAACAAAGTTTGGCCCTCGGGATGTCCACAGGGAGGGCCCTCAATCTCCCAAGACTTTGCCGATGGAAGGGCGGTGTGTCTGCACACCGGGGCTTGCGATGGGTCAGGGTGCGGCAAAAGTGTAATGTCGTTGTTTACGTGAATTTCTAAGTGGGACGTTCACACACGGGTGGACTGGATGGCAAAGTCCCACTGATCGGCCACCAAGGTCACCGGAGTTCACGGCCTCTCGACTTTCGGGGCGCACGGGGCGTCTGTAGGACGGTCGTCTATGCACTGATCGTCCCGCGGACAGCGGAGCATCAACGAAGCGTGCACCGCGTTCGATGTCGACACATCGAGGAATGTCCACGCGTCGTGTGTGAAAGAGGCCAAGGCGTGCTTTCCTGGCAAACGGCGCGCAGGTCTAGCATCAGCTGCAATACGTTACTGTGCGGACGTCTGGTCCCGCATCCTGTGTGCGTGCGTGCGCGTCGTCCGCTCAGGAATGGCATTGCACAGTCTCTCCCCGACCTGGCTTCCTCCACGGCTTCTCTTCCAGCGAGTCGAGGTTGAAATCCAGGACGGGGACACCATTGATGTTCCCCAAGGCATTCATGTCCACCCCCTTCTTCTGCTTGCCGGCTGCGCACACACGACGACAGTTCATCGTTAATCATCGGCTCATCACCGGCAGATAGGCCACCTGGGGCCATCAAGAAGCCACGAACTCATCAACAGGCGAACGGCGTTCAGCTTTTTTTGTTCCATCCCACTTGCTTCATGGCGGGCACCCCAAGGTGTCTCGCTCAAGGTCGCTTTCCAGACAAAGCGTGCTCTTTCATCCACCGTTATGTTCTTGACAAGCTGTTCACATCTAATGACATCAACAGCACAATAACGAAGACAATCGTTTTTTTTTTTTTTACGGCGAGGTCTGCCGCGGCTTGTTCATTAACGCGCCTTCGGCGGATCGTCCCGTCTAGCGCAATGGAGACCCGCTCAACCCAGCGCTGCTATTCCTGCCACAATGAGTGGCTTCGTCGATGACCTGCGGGTTCTGACGTGTGAACTCTTATCAATGCTACAAAATACACGCGGGTCCACGAAACTGCCCGCATTTGGCGTACACTCATTACCAGCCGTCCAGATTTTTTCGCTTGTCATCCTGCACCTGACAAGATTGACATAAACAAGGCTATTATAATTTGACTTCACGTAGCCAAGGACATCAGGTTGGGTGTCACTTCTGAAAATCTCATTATTGAAACAATAGGTTTGTTTTATTGCCTCCTGTAAAGCAAATCTGAGCCTCGCGCATCCAATTCTACCTTTTCTTGCGAACAATAAACGTGCGCAGTGTGCGTTGTGTGCAGCGGAAAAACGTGTGGCTGGCATGGGCCCTTGCACAAAGGAATGCGATGGGGGGCGGGGCGGGAGCCCCCCCCCCCATCCAATAACCTTTCCCTCCCCCACCTACATAGACTGGGCGCTGGGCCCCCCGCAGAACCAGTGGGCTCTGGTTGAGTTGCACCGCCGACACAATTGACAGCTACGCCACCGCTTATGCAACGGCGTGAGCCAATGCAAGTTTATCTGCCCCCCACAATGTTTGGACTCATGTTCTTGGTTCTTTCGGTAAAGTCACGTTGAAGGGAAATAATAAAATAATAAAAATAAAACATAGAAAAAATTATTCTCACGACATTTCGACCACAACGCAAGCAGCCGTCCTCAGGTGAAGAACCGGTCTGTCGGAAAGACAGTGCATTCAGACGCCGTCTTTCCCTTCTACGTGACTTTACCAAAAGAACCAAGAAGATGAATCCCTGCAGTCACGAATGCTTTAAATCGAAATGTTTGGACTGTCCAATGCGAATTTCACACATCGCGGACATGGGATGGCGGGATGCGCCGTGAGCAACAGTGTAGGGCGGTACGAGGAAACTTCAGGCACGACGGTCTTGCATCGGAGGCACTTTTTACCTGCAGCAGTGTTGACACACGACTGGGTCTGGGTCTTTATATTGAGGCTCACGGGATTGCCACTGTGAGCAGAGCTGTAATGAAAGAGCAACGCCGACATATTCACACGGAACACAACATCGCCATCTACACTGCCGGGTGTCTTCATGGAGACTGAGGAATAATAAGATCGTGAGATGAATGTCCCACGTCAATCTACTGCCTCTGGTTGCAGGCCTCTCCACGCCGTGTTGGTCATTAGGTGGTGATGGAGGGGGGCCAGTACCGGTTCAATCATCTCAGCTGGCTGTCACGTTAGCTGCAGTTGGCATCGCAACTCATGTGTGTTCATGTGAATATGCTTTCTGTATTTAGTTTGTTGTCCTTACCCCGCACCTCCGATTAGCATAGTTGGCTACATATGGTGCGACAGAAGTTCAATATGCATACATATAGGTCACTGGGTTTGTATCGAAATACTGAACACACTGTGCCACCGCCCCCCCACCACCCCCCCATTAATATGGTACGAATCCAGCAATAACACAGCTGCCTTAAACACGGCCGTAACTTACGAGCGTGTTAAATTCACAGTGATAACCATTCCATTTGTGCTCCGCTGAACGCGTTGTAAATCGCACACTTGCTCAGCCATTAAGGTAAAAAAACCGAACCTCAAACCCCAACTCTGGCTGCCGCTGATGCTGTCATTGCTCCCGAAAGCTTTAACAAACGGCGCGCATCGTTTGGGAGTAAACGGGCGAGCGGTCGTTGTCAGCAGCGGTGCCTGCAACTGCTCCCACGTGAGCAGAACGCATGCGTTCCAGGGCACTTGGAACATTTGCAGATGCAATCGGGGGACACATCCCCACAATGCCCGCTTTATAGGTGTGTAATGATGCCATCAATCCATTAAAATGGATTCTAAGGCACACGGCACATGCGCAGGATCGCACGCGTGTGCGTCTATTGCTCTAGATACATACACGTTGTGTGTAATGAGTTCACGTAAGCCCAGCGGCCACTAGAGGCCCCTAAATTCACAATAATAATCAAGTCCTGAATTTAAATAATAATAAAGTCGTGAATTGAATCGTAACCCATAATTCTGAATATTAATTGAATCGCAAGGGGGGGGGGATATCATTCCATATTCATTTAGTTATATTAAAAATCAGTTTCTTTGCTGCTGAGTTTGCATTGATTGTTAAAGAGTGCTGGCTGGAATCACTGAGATCCTGGGTTCTCTAGTGTAGTATTGGAGTTGATGGTCTCAGCAGGTCACCAATGGCTGCACCAAAAAAAAAAAGACTAAATTTGGTGCTACACAATTTGGTTGAGGTCCAGCGGACAATTTAATATGAACGTACTGCGACAAACCTCACTGTCATTTGCACAGCGAGTGGGAAAGTGCCACTCCCGATTGTGTAGACCACAGGTTACTTGAATGGCTTCTTTTCCCCGAGGTAGCTCTCTCTGTGGTATCTGCTTCCGTAGGCCATTCGTTTGACATTAAGAGTTACACCGCCGTGAAAAATCGGAACATATGTGACACCGATGGCACAATGGAGATACAATTGTGGAAACGCACGTTTAAAAAGGTTGTTGCTATTTGTCCACTTATATGCAGATATAAAAAAAATAGCTTCACGTGCACTTAAGAAACAAGGCTGCATGCATAAATAAGCATACCGTTAAATCATAAAGTATATGATCATGGGTGAACTGTGCTGGCACTTTTGATCTTAATCCCACTCTGATGTTTAAATCTCACAGGAATATGCCCAGCTGTATGATTCATAAGCTGTGTGCGTAGGTTATGTGCCGAGTACGTGCCTCCGGGGTTTGAGGCACTACGGGCCGAATATTAAAAGCCTGCCATGCTCCAACGCCGGGGCTTCATTTTATCCGATATATAGTAGAAGAAAATGATAATCTACCATTGTTCTGTAACTAAACAATTGCCCATAATGCACATGGTTTGGGACAATTCAAGTGATTATTAAATTTCGATTTAAAGCTTTCGCGACTGCAGGGATTCATCTTCTTGGTTCTTTCGGTAAAGTCACGTAGAAGGGAAATAATTAAATAAATAAAAATAATTTCTTATGTTTTATTTTTATTATTTTATTATTTCCCTTCTATGTGACTTTACCGAGAGAACCAAGAAGATGATTATTAAATATTTTCCCAAATTTTACTCCCATCACGCTCTCGGTGTCACTCCAGGAGAGAGTGTCCGTTAGAACTCGTGCAATGTGGCGCGTCACAACGTGTTGGAGACAAGCCCGCAGGAGGTGGTGGTATCGCACGGCCACATCGGTGGTCCCTTCCTGTGACCTCTTTCCCACACCAAGAGCACCGCACTTTGTCACGTGCCCTCCTATAGATGTTCTTTGGGTATCAATAAGACCCAAAATGTGTGTTTTATTTTCTTTCTCAGAGTTGGAATTTGAAAAAACACATGGATTTATGTGTATTTGAATGCAGTCGTTGGTGACCTGGGTGAGATCATTAACTCGTTCTATGCTTTGTAAGCCCAGATCTACAGGACCCATTTTGGCAGCAGTCAATTTATTATATTGTCCAAGTCTGTGTTTGAACATCTTAACATCTGTATTATTGCCAGGCAGAGTAAAGCCTTTTCCTTCATTTTTAATCAACTTGAAAGGCCGGTTTAACTATTTAACTTTTTTTTTTCACCAGGTAAGGCGCACCGAGCTATAACAGCTCTTTTTCCGAAGCGACCTGGCCACAAACGATAGCTCAACGAAGCGGCTCGTCGTCACATGGAAATGCACACTGATTCTAAATGTGAAGGGAAAAAAAAACCCAGAGGACCCAAAGAAAAATGCACACGACCATGGGGAGAAAGAGATTCGAACTACAGAGCAGGTGTCAAGTGGACTGCTGAGCCACTCAGCCACCTTCAGCACTAGTGGTGGAGGGGGGGGGGTCCAATTAAAGCACCCACAGAAGGATTCTGTAAAACCACCCTCTTACACAACAAGCCCCCCGTAGCACGCACATGGCCAGGTCATTCACGTCACATTTATCCTATCATCGGAGCCTTTGCACGGATAAATAGAAAGTGGAAGTCTCCGTTAATTCATCATATCGTCAAAAGTCATGGTGCAGGTGAAAGGAAGTCGTGACGACAATGTAGTGGCCACGCAATACAATCATTTAAGCCTTTGTTCACACATGACAAACCGACTTGGAAGTAGTGGCAACATCGTGTGTGCTCATTGGAAACCTTTGAACGGATGAGCTCTGAAGACCCGGACGTGATAGAAGAGTCAAAAGCGGGGCCACGGATAATCAACCACAAAAACAAATCGTCAACTAGATTATTTTTAGCGAATGTATCTAACTTTATCGTCGCAGCTCAATTCGAGTCACGTGCAAGATTTGGAAGCAGAACAACTTATCACATGTGTCATGCGAATCAGTAAATGCATCTTATTATTGTTGTTGTTGTTGTTTTGTCCAGGACGAGTGGCCACACACCTGCGGGTTTTGGTTCCGGTGCGGATGTTGCCGATGGTAACTTCAATGTCATCGTCGTCGTCGTCGTCATCGTCGTCGTCGTCGTCATCGTCGTAATCGTCGACATCAAAGCCTCCGTTCTCTCGGAGATGCTGCTTCAATCCACCGACATCAGTGCCGACCTCCTGCTCGCCCAACAGTCGACAAAGCACAAGTGCGGAACGCGATCAACCACGGGACGCACGCTCAAGTCTCCACGTCGTCCCAACAAACCCTGCTGGCAATCCGCGCCTTGAATGAGGGATACCCAGTGCCGTGCGAGTCGCGGGGGGGGGGGGGGGGGTTAATTGACCGTACTTCACCAAGCCGGTCGGTGCGAGTTGGTGAAGGCGGGGGGAGGATAGACGTAGGAGTTGATGCACTGCCCTCTATAGCCTCGATAACCCATCATGTGGCACAACCCCAGAAATTCTCAGGCAGGTCTGTAAACAAATGCCTGGGGCTATTTGGCTATGCGTGCATATATACAGGGTGCTTCAAACTGTTTTTGTTAACACTTATATGGGACTATTGTTTTTAATAGACTGTAACATGATAACAAATGTCATGTTAACAGCTTTAAAAAGGCAGAAGAGTCCCCACTTGTTCGCCATCGTTGTCAACACGTTGCCTGGAATCTTCTCCAGGTGGTCTCCAGAGCCCAGAGGCACATTTATTGTGGTATTGTCGCTTCTGAGAAAATACAATTCTCAGAAGTGCTAAAAACATTTTAAACACCCCGTATAAATGTATATATAAAGCACACAACATCGACACTGGGGGAGACAAAGGCGGCCGGGCATGGAATTGGTCACCCACCCCCTCGGAGTGCCGTGCCGACCTTCATAGGTGTTACTCGCTAACAGCACTTGCCCCAAGTGTGTTAAGGCTATACGGTAGATCTTTGTCTTTGTACTACGAAGATACAGTGTCACCGTGCCATTTACATTCACTTCAAATATTACACTGGTCAACACACTTTTTCTGGCATTAGGTATTCCAACAGTTCTAAGGTAATTTTGGGGTGCCGATTCCAAATCTGGCATCAGATTTTGTCTACCACATCAGGTTTTTGAGATATCAAATATTGCAGAAGAAAAATATTAAATAAATGTGGATATCTACATAAAATTATATTATAAATACACTATCCTAAAAATACAGCACCATATTTTAACACTAAAGCAGTCACTGACTCGCAACAACTTGCAATCATAAGTGACAGAGTTAATTTCGGGTAAAATCAATGAAAATGGGGTATGCCGATAGCATAAAATGAGATGTGATAGAGCAAATCTGAGATCAGATTTGGAATCAGCACCCTGAAATTAGTCTAAAACAGCTGCAAAAGTCCAGGCCAGAATTTGTTTTTTGTTGACCAGTGTTATCGCGACGAGGTGAGCGGCACAAAGTGCAGCTGTTGCTCTGCATCTACATCAGCCATACGAAAGAAGAAGTGGCACGGTTCCAGTTCTGCAGTGGAAAATTCACTCGGGGCCCCCAGCGAAACCTTCCGACCCTGTTAAATAAATCCATCTACATACATGTTTCGATTTAATAATAATAACGCGCAGTTCATATTTAACCTCCAGACGGGTCCTCATTGCAAAGCTTTACGTTTTTAAAGAACCAGCCGACGAGGCAGAATTCACCACGTGGTTAAAGGGCGTGAGAAATTCAATAGCCTCAGCGATGGTGCGAGCCTTCGGTTATTACCGATTTCATGGCTCGTCTTGTACGGCTCGCAGACTGTTTGAAAATGAATGCACTAGGAGGCATTACTACCATATGAATCGTTTTTAATCTCTTCCCCGGCAAGCACATCATTTTAATTTACAATGGCAATTTAAGGTTATGCAGGTCTACCTTACTGTCATGGAGGCCGGTAATGCTCGATAAATCCAAGCAGCTGTCTCTGGGGGGGCAGGGCGATAGGAAAAAGGAACAATCACAAACAAACCATTACAATGACAACAGAGGCATTGACTCCACGCCACAATGGAGAGCACATTAACCCTTACAAATCGGAGAACATTTCAAGACCACTCGATGGTCTTTAAATTATGTGAAATCCACCCGAGTGGGGAATCACAGCCAGGCTCTTCTGGACATGAAGTACAAGTGTTAACACTTCACACCACCCTACCGCCTTAAAGATCACTTGTAAAAACACCATTATCGATATAGATTACAGCACCCATAGTGTTGGAGGCCCTGCTAACGACTATTGCGCAACTGAAAATGAGTATTGAGGGCAGAGCGGAAAACGAGTGAGCGTAGTTGACTAATTAAAGTCCTCAACGACTACTAAACATCTATCCACTGCTGCATGAAGGCCTCTCCAAAGCTGCAGCCATCCCTCGCGATCACGAGACGCCACAAACATCCATCTGGCTCCCGCGCAGGAGCCAATTCTCATCGCTCCACCTCCACGGTGGACGTACGTTTTTTTTTCGGGCGCGGTCCCCTCCCTTGGGTGCCACCCCGTTGTGCTGTGCCACCCTTGGGTGCCACCCCATTGTGCTGTGCCACCCTTGGGTGCCACCCCATTGTGCTGTGCCAGCCGGTCATCGGCGTCCCTGATGTCCCTGCTCAAGCCCAGTTACCTTTCTAGATTTGAAGCTTTCGTGACTGCAAAGATTCATACTCTTAGGCTTTTTCGGTAAAGTCACGTGGGTAAAAAATTTAAATAAAATTAATAGAAGTGATAATAGAAATACAATAATAAATCACGACGTTTCGGAGGCAACACAATCTTTCGTATTCAGATAGAACCGTCACAGCACGATTTCTGTATCAAGTAAAAAGGGAAAAAAAAAAAAATGACAAATATTTTTTTTTTCACAAGTTATTTTTTTTACTTGATACAGCAATCGTGCTGTGACGGTTCCACCTGAAGATGGAAGCTTGTGTTGCCTCCGAAACGTCGTGATTTATTAGTTTATTTCTATTATTACTTCTGTTAATTTTATTTTTTACCTACGTGACTTTACCGAAAAAGCCCAAGAGTATGAATCCCAGTTACCTTTCCCAAACAATCTACAATTGTCCATAATGGAAGTTTTTTTTGGTTATATCGCGTAAATATAAATGTGTCGTTAGACCCACAAACACTTACAATTCGAGTACGACACATTTATATTTACGCGATCTAATCCAAAAACCTCTATTATGGATAATATTGGTAGCAAAAGCCTACTACGTGTTAAACCAATCTACAATGTCTCTAGCTCGCTTGCTCGCCAATCCAAGTGGTTCCTCCTCTTTATGTCTCTCGGTGTACGCCAAGCGTGCATCTCCCCCACGCTCCTTTGCACACTTTCCAGATTTGGTTCCATTTCATTTCCAGTTCGGGAAAAGACTCATTAATGTCAACTACACTGGTCAACAAAAAACACTTTTTCAGGCCTGGACTTTTGCAGCTGTTTTAGACTAATTTCAGGGTGCTGATTCCAAATCTGATCTCAGATTTGCTCTATCACATCTCATTTTATGCTATCGGCATACCCCATTTTCATTGATTTTACCCGAAATTAACTCTGTCACTTATGATTGCAAGTTGTTGCGAGTCAGTGACTGCTTTAGTGTTAAAATATAGTGCTGTATTTTTAGGATAGTGTGTTTATAATATCATTTTATGTAGATATCGACATTTATTTAATATTTTTATTCTGCAGTTTTTATTGAAAATGCAATATTTGATATCTCAAAAACCTGATGTGATAGACAAAAACTGATGCCAGATTTGGAATCAGCACCCCAAAACCGTTGGAATATCTTATGCCAGAAAAAGTGTGTTGACCAGTGCTATCATTACGTCTGGCCTTTGGAGACTAAAAAAAGACATAACTCCTCCAATGTGGTATAAAACAGGAAATTTGGTGCATTAATTGTAACACAAAATGACACAAATAATACACTTTGTATCATTCCTATGAATACGCTCACTTTATATTCTTATGTTTTTTCGGTAATGTCACGTAGGTAAAAAACATTAAAAAGTAAAATAAAATAAAAATCAGGACGTTTCGGAGGCAACACAATGTTTTTTACCTACGTGACTTTACCGGAAAAAACCTAAGAATATGAATCATTGCAGTCACGAAAGCTTCAAATCTAGAATACACTCACTCTTTGTGAACACCTGTTAATTAGTCCATGAGTCCATAACAGACAATTCACTTGTCAATACCACACAAGGTGACATGAACTAAAGTGGTAGCAATGTTTATATGTGGCCAAGAATAGTGATATATGAGATATCTACTTAAAATTAGTGGGTGTTATCCGATAGTTAAGTCATTCAACGTATAAAATAAATTGGTAGACTTTACCGAAAGACCCAAAGAATTCAAATTCCTGCAGTCATGAAAGCTTTAAGTCAAGAACTACTAAAGTTTTGCTACATTCGGTGGTACCAATATCCGCTACTGCACATGAACTAAATACAGAAATTCATAATTTCACACATTTCCAATAGACATTTTTTTTCTGGCACATATTGTCACTTATTTTGTAAAAACATGATTTAGAAAATTGATGGGACAAATAGGAATGGTCGTAAACAGGATATGAATATAAACACCCTTTGCATTTCATCAAACAATTCAACTAGGGGAACACTGAATACGTTTTATGTCAAAATAAGCTGCACGTGATCAATTCCATCCAATCACAGATAGTTAAAATAATGACACTTTTGTCAAAGTAGTACGCAATCTTAGCACACGGTGCCCCAGAAACTAGTACGAGTCACAAGTTATTTGTCTAACTTCCTGAAGGAAACTCAATATGTGTATGCTATATTCTGATAAGAATCTTGATTTGAAGCTTTCGTGACTGCAGGAATCCATACTCTTTGGTTCTTTCGGTAAAGTCACGTGGGTAGACATTCTGATAAGAGTTTGAAGCAATTTATAAACGTGCACATGACAATAAAAACATCAAGCTCAATTATGTCCAGTATTACAAAAACTTTTTATATTCCACCCGAATGCACAAAATGTAAATTATTAAAAATATTTATACTCAAAGAGATAATCTGAAGCTGCATCTTCTTCGTATGTTCCGTCTTGATTATCTGGAGAAAGAAAAACAAGAAAATATTAAAAAGTGGTTATTAAATTTTTTTACCTTCATTTTTTAAAAACCCAACTGTAACAAGTCCAACATTATCTCACTTATTAAACTTGAAGTTAATTTTCCATTTTCTGGTGGAATATTAGAAGCAGAATATCTATACCACAATAATAATAAATGTAAGCAATGAAGCATAAAATTAACTAAATCTTTAGCCATTTCATCCGTGTAATTACTTTATTAAAAGACACTGTAAATGGAGAGGTGTTGTAACATTTTCTGCATTTCTGAGCTTGGAATTAAAAGTTTTGAATTGACAAGTCCCTACTTCTATCGGTGTCAGCGCAAAAATACGATACCTTCAGTAATTATAGCCTCCAGCATTTATAGATATTATGTTTAAGCGTGAACGGCATTTTCAAAGTTCAACATAACCACATTTCAATGAGCAAATTTGTTTCATTTAATACCCGTTATTCAAAAAAAAAATCTGCCATGGTACAATGGCTAGCACATTGGATCTGCAATGCAATCTTTTGGTGCGGCATATGAAACAATGGAGCAATTATCTTAAACCCCTCTAGCCTCTGCCCACCCAGCACACATCACACAGCCGTATAAGCGGACATACATCACAACAAGAGGGTACACATCACAACCCCTCCTGCCTCTGCCCACCCAGCAGTGAAAGCAGGTACACATCACAGCCAGTCCATCGATCGCCAGGTCACGCGTGTTGGGGGAAAAGGTTGGAAACGCTCACACATTTGCTAGGATGCATGGCCAGTGTGGAAGATTAGGCCAAATACCCGCTAGGCGGCCTTTATACAGCTCCCTCCAGTGGCCTCATCGCCAGCAGTAGTGTGAGCAAGCAACTGCAGAGCTGCACTCTTAACGTTGATAATTATAAAAGCCATGACGGATATGTACCTACGTTGAGGATGTTGGCAGTAATCAGTAGACATGTAAAGATGAATACATTGATTGATTAAAATGTATTCTTATCTTCTTGGTTCTTTCGGTAAAGTCACGTAGAAGGCAAGTAATAAAAAAAACATAATAAAATGATTCTCATGACGTTTCGGCCACAACCCAAGCAGCCGTCCTCAGGTGAAGAACCAGACTCTGTCTTCTCGACAGACCTGTTCTTCACCTGAGGACGTCTACTTGCGTTGTGGCCGAAACGTCGTGAGAATCATTTTATAATGTTTTTTTATTACTTCCCTTCTATGTAACTTTACCGAAAGAACCAAGAAGATGAATCCCTGCAGTCACGAAAGAAGCTTTAAATCGAAATGTATTCTTATGTCCAGGATCCACACGTTGCAGTGTATGAGAAAATATGATTTACAATTTTTAGTAAAAATGATACGTGAAGGACATGCCAATGTTACATATAGACCAATGGAATGGACAAAACTATACCAATGAGTAAAAACATAAATAACACAAACAAGATGATAACAGCTAGGCCAAAAAAATAACTCATTCTTGACTTGAATCATGAACAAAAATCGTGACAATCCATCGGATTGCCTGGAGGCTGAATAGTTTCATGTCTTGCAATCAGTCAACCTTGGAATTATCAGCACCATTCATTTTGTAGGCAGGAAAATGGATTGCAGCCGGATCACCATTTCACAAAGCACATTGCGTATTATGCAATGCGAATAACTTCATGTACAGTACCAGCGCAGTAGGTCCAAGAGAGAGGTAGGAAAAAAAGCAACGCAATATCCCGCTAAATCTCTTTTTGAAATGCTGAAATGTAAAATTGTCGAGCGGGCAAATGTGCAAAAAAACGTCGCCGATTGAGCGCAGGGGGGTAAAAGTGCCTTTTCGCAAAACGATGGGCGACCAGGACTCCCGCAGCAATTGGGAATGCACCACACGAGTTGGCCACGCGCGTCTGAAGATGTCGCCGGGACAGGCTTCAGAAAAAAGTGGCGACGGACACTCGCCTCCGCCGTCCAGACTGGCCGGGATAATGCAACGCAGGCGCACTTAGGATTCTGGGGAAACGCGCCTCGAGTGTTTCATGTACACGCGTGCGCGCGCGCGCTGCCAGGACCGCTTGACACCGATGGGATTTCGCGACAAGCGACAAGTCGGCCGTCGGGACGGAGAGCACGCACGCGCGCGCAATGTTTCGCGCGGCGGATTCGGACGAAGCCTTCTCGAGGAATTGGTGGCCATAGCGGGTGAAGAGAAGGAAAAGCGATGGGCGATGTCGCTTTCAACAACAAATCCGCGCTGCGAAAATGGCACACGAGAAATTCCAGCAAAATTGCCCTTTCGTACAAAATAACACTTGTCATTATGCAGCCTCATTAGCGCACCCTAAATAGGTTGACCAAGTACTGTACTCGGCATGATCTAAGAGTTGTACAACAAAAGATAGGCAGCTAATTTAGCAGCTCCAAAATGCCACTAACTTTGTTTTATAATTGCAACGCTAATCTGCGCCACAGTCCCCCCCCCCTCCAATCATTTCACTTTAGGCCACCACACTGAGATAGCATAATTGGTCACGCATAATCGCCAGACAGGTTTAAAACTATTTAGGATGGCTCTCGTGGGCATGATGCGGACCTGAAAATCTTTGCAAAACGCTCGTACAAAACGGGCCCCCGCTCACTCTGCACCTGCGTGTAATTACTCACGAGTTAGCAAGGCTGAGCAGGCCTGGCATAATTAGTGGGCATGTTCATGTACCGCTGGTTATTTAAATTGTGTTAATCCAACGTGACTTTATGCAATAATAGCCGTTTGAAGGCAAGTGCTTATTTCTCCACAGCTGTCATCACGAAGCCGAGTACAACTATAGGTGGATTCTTATTTCACAGCAAACAAAGCGGGCAGCACTTGGCCTATGAAGATATAAATTGAAAATCAAATGCAGCAATAATGCTACTTTTTGTTCAAACCACTTATGGTCGAGCTCCTGCACTGAACACCGATGAGATAAAATGAGAAAGAGAATTAAAGTAGAGAATCATAATTGTCTACCGTGCCGTGAACTCTATAGATTACCCCCACCAAAATAAAATGAAGAAATTACAGAACGTATCATTGCAAAGCCTCCACAGGACTCCCCACCAATCTCAATACAAAGAGTATTACAATAATTCGTTTAACACTCTCCCGATGCGCTATTTCAATGCAGCCAGTCTCATTTCCGTACAGCATTCGACGGTGCGTAAAGCGGGAGGTCGTTGATGTCTCGCCGCTCGTTAGAAATCAATTGGAATTCTGCTAATTCAGCCGGGCGGCGACGGTGACGGCGCACATCTGTAATCCAGCACTGTGGATGCGAGGGTTGGTGGGTCACGCCAGGAGAAAACGTTACAGCACAAGGTGGACTCTGCCTGATTCATCTAGACGGGATAAAGTGCTGCCCCACCGCATGCGTGGGTTCTCTCCTGTTTCCTTCTACACTCGTTTGCCCATTTGAAAACATCTTAATATATAAAGGACCACAGAGCTTGGAAAATTGTTGGCACGTGCTCACGAACCGCCTGGCTGCTGCCTTCCCACTTGTCCGCGGTTCTTAGCGCCTCTGCGTCGTCGTTCTCTCTCAAGTGTGAGAAATTCACCAAACACAGTCATTTTTATATACGCACACCGCAACACGGTATATGTATTGTTGTGTGCGCAGTATAACACACTGCAGGAATAATGATAAGTAGTCATCAGAAGCAGTCGTGCACAGTGAGGGATTACTCTGCGCGTTACAAGTTGAATTATAACGAAATGGGGCACCCTGTAAGCATAAGTACAACTGCAGTACTGTACACTAGAAACATTGGTCAAACGTCAAAATAACAACCGACCAGATAGAGTATTGAGACTCAGTTTGGCTCTTATGAATTTGCTGGATATTAAGAGGCAAGACATATCTATTTTATATGTTTACTGATTGCAATTTTCATTTTAATTGCCCAAGACGATCAAGAAAAGCAACTTCCCATCTGTTGCAGTTAGGTGTTGCGAGTGGGAGCTTATGTATAGTTAAAATCGTTCAAAGTGCAGGCTCCCATTACGCCTTCGGAAATACACATTGATGTATGGAATTAAAGCTGTAACCGCTGTACTGTGTCTAGATGCAACTCTTATATTCTATTAAACCAACTCACTGCACTAAAACTAAAAAATTATGTCAGACTGTTTTGTTGCATCAATAATCACGCCTTAAAGATGATAAGTTACTTTGTCATTTTGAAAGGAGGCGATAATGGAAATCTATTTCTAACATACTAAACATGCTATGTTGCAGTAAAGAGCAATTAAAATACCATAAAATGTGCAATGGCATTTTACATTTAATGGCTCTGATGATAACAATAACAAACACTTGCACATAGCCACGATGAAAATTGCTTCCATAAAGCCTTTTAAAATGCAGTGCTGCACTGATATATTCAAAAAAATTTCACCCAGACCACTCATCGTAATGAAATGTAGATGGAACCAGCTGTGCAACCTGTTGTGATCCATTAAATATCAAGGACAACGTGGAACTTGCTTGAAAAGACAAATTGCTAAGAAAGCGACAATGCTTCATGCATCGGATTAATCCGAACAAAATAAATTATAATCAAAAAATAAAGCGTAGACATGAAATTTGTGACAATCTGAACATAACCTCCCTTTTAGATTAATTAGAAATCAGGGTGACGTCTCATCACTATTTTTTATGTCACTTCAGCGTTTTCCTGACCAAAACATGTGACATTTGGTGCACAGTACTACCGTAAAATTGCAAACACATAAATATCCAATGTAATGTAAATGGTCTGAAAGTCCACAAAAAGGGTCTGAAAATTGTCCTTACTAATCAGACACGCCAAAGTCTAAAGCTTTCGATTCAAAACTCATCCTTAACGAGCACTAACCTCCGCCAACGTCCGGTTAACCAGGTGGCAATGGTTTATCATCCTATATGGCATGCTCATGATATTGAATTAAGTCAAAACCAAGATTGCCTTTCTTCAGACAATTGCTGGGATGAATGATTCCTGGGTCTGTCTGCAGATGGATTGCGTGTTATTTACCTTTGGCGATTAAACAAACTCCCTGCGGCTCGTTTTATTTTAGGGAAAACACCAGTCTTATTACGTGTCGCGAATGACCTGTGATCCTGGCGAAGCTTGTTTATTTCACATCTCAGCCGATTATTTACACATCCGACCGGTGTGCTTTTCATTCACCACATCAAGCAATGATGTCCCCCCCCTCCTGCTTATTTGTGTTCATTACACGATTTTCATACCAGAGTTTTTTTTTCCTTCGGTGCATGACTCCTGCAGAGGCAAATATAGTCCCTTGAGTTAAAACACTTGTTAAAACAATTTTGATTTACATGGCACCTAAACACAAAGACAAATATAGACTCAAAAACAGTGTGATATGCGCACCATGCGGATGGTTTTATATATAGACTATATATACACACACACAAGGTACCATATACAACAGTGTAAGGAAGAGATGGTGAATAATAGGCAGAAGAGAAGAGGAAGGGCCTGATACTGGATGTGAACAGGGGCAATGGAGTCGATATCACATACGGCAGGAGGGATTTGAGTTCCGTGTTGCATGGGCATGTATGTATGTTGAACTTCTTTCACACCGTAGGTTGCGAACCGTGTTAATCGAAGGTGCAGCAGAGGATAAGGAGCGATATCATCCAATATCATGACTGTCATTATGGTATTAGCTGATTAGTCCTATAATGGAAGCCACATTCAAAATGATCCTCTTACTGACCTAATAGCTCAAGGGCATGTTCCCAGTCGCCTGCTGTTATCACTGCGAAACCAAGTTGCACCATCTTCTAAGTGTGAACAATGGCCAGCTGGTGCACCCCGTATTCATTTATTGTACAACTCACTGGATTTTCAATTAGCTTTTTTAAAATCAAATCTGAGTCCTGTTTACATGGATTTGAAGCAAAATGTGCAATATCTATGCAATGGGTAAATATACTGACCACAAATGGATGCACACGCTATGTCCTTTAAAGTGTGTTATCCCATTCAAGTCCATAACATAATTAAATAGATACTGTATTCATTATTTGGGGCACACTTAATGTGCAGAATGGGAGAAAAAAATTGAAATTCATATACCGTACTGCATGGGATTAATTTGCCATACTTCTGATTTAAATCCCATGACTTCTGGCAACGTTTTCCTTCTTGTATACCGACGTCTTTGTCAATGCACTGGTGGATGAATTCCTGACCATACTTCACCACGCCGGATCAAAGGGCCGGTTGGTGAAGGGTGGGTGGGTACAGTGTAGGAATATTGTAACGTCTATCCGAAAAATGTGTTCATCATTTAGAGCCCATTCTTTTAGTGCCCATGTAGACTATTTAATTTTTTATGTATTACATGGAATGTTGTTGTTGTTGAACGTGTTGTCAATGTGTACATAATTACCTGACACGGGGGGAAAATAGGAAAGAAATACTATCGTACCGATTTCTTTCAACTTATTTGAGAATGTTTTTTAAAGGCCTACAAATTACAGTGAAATCAATACGCGTGCCCCCGAGCACATTCCCTGTCGTTTTAATTATCACAGGTATTTACACCTAAGTGCTAAAAAAAAGTGTGAAGAATTCACCAAAAATACAATAATCTGGAAATATGCGCACTGCAACACGGTGCTGTTTTTAGAGTGTGTGCACGCTACAATACACTGCAGGAATAACAATGCATCATCAGTAACAGCCATGGTCAATCCACTGCTGAACGAGAACCCTCCTAAGGCCGCTACCATACATCACCACCCTGCCACGTAATGAATAACAATGGGATAATTTTCAGTATTTTATAACCACGAGCAAGAATATGGCCAACAACGTTCTACACCACTTATCGCATCGTTATGTACGCATCTACTTTACTGACAAACCATTTTTGTTCTCATCACATTTGTCGATTTTAACAATTTGCTTTTTTAGTATTTTTTTTTTAATTATCGCCCCGAGATTTGAAATAACCATTTGCTCCCCGCGGGAGACTTTTTTTCTCGTCTCTAAATGAACGTATCCACCTGATTCGCAATACAATCACATTCACGTCGCCACGTATTCCTGTAAAGGCACACAACACCATGCAACGTAAAGTGAAATCACAACGCAAGGGTCTATTTAAAATAATATAAATACACACAGTACAAGCATAACAATTTCGCCTCGAGACACGCGTGACTTACAGATGCACAGCCAATCTAAATCTTGTGGGTTCAGATCCCGGAGATTCAAGACTTCGCCTGCCATCATCTTGCCGTCGGGTTAAAGCTTAAACCCACAATGGCAACAATTTAAATGCCAATTATAAAGTTGCCGACAAGAGACTGGAATCTTGTTTTTTTAAAAAGTTGTTTCCTTTCATTCAAAGTTTAAAGGAACACGCCCTGCACTGAGAGAGAGAGCGGCAGAGAGAGCGAGAGAGCCACACCACGCAATACAAGTTGCGAATGAGAAGTGGATACGATCTGCGGTCCTACAGGAATAAAAACTCCGGCCCTACACTGCCCTCTTGTGGCTGTGGCCAGCAAACATCTCAGCTCACTCATCTCTCTCGCTGTGTGTGTGATGGGGGTGTGGATGTGACCCGGTGGTTGTTCCATCGTCACGTTCGCGTCACGTTCCCTTCCTATCGGAAGCGATTTGGTAGTTCTCTCTCTCTCGTTGTTGTTGTTATCGTCGTCGTCGTTGAGACATTTGGTTCTGAGTTTATAATTCAGCTTACACGCCAACTGCAGGAGCCTCGCTGCGCGGACGACCGAAGCGAAACCTCCCACCCACCCCACCATCCACCACCTTGAGATTATCCAAAGGCAAAACAAAAGTTTCACAACATTTTCACACGACGGTGCGTGCATCGATTACGAACCCTCCAACCCTCTCGCCCAGCCCGACCGCTCGAGTTCGATTCGCTACCGAACTGGGACCCAATCCCTCCGCGAGCAGCCCGGACGATGTTTGGTCAAAAACAACAGACGTCTTCACCTACCCAGCTTCGTCTCCGCGGCGTGGGGAGGGGGAAGCCTGTCATCCAGCTGTGGATTGTCAAGGGCACTGTGTGTACATTATTGTCGTTATTGTTGTAATGTGGCACATTTGCTGGTGGCGTCTTTGGCGAGGCTTCGTTGCTGAGCGCTTGCTATGTTATCGCGACGTGAGACGGGATCGTTGCCAGTGCCCGGATTAAGCTAAGTGTAGTATACTTTATAAAGGGGCCTTAAATAAAATAAAAAGCATAAACATTAAAAACATAAATTTTTTACTTGCAGTCAAGTAATTGTATTTTTTTACTTGCTATACAGCCAGATACTACGACAAATCGCTAACCTTAAACACCCAGTAGTTCATGAAAGTTGAAGGCGGTATAGTACTATAGTAACAGAGCAAGTGCAGAATCACTGAACCGGAATTGATAGCTTGAAAGCATTTAGCGCGGGACCCTTGAAAGTGCGGGCCCGTAACTTCTACATATGTAGTAGCACATATGTAGTAGTACATATGTAGCTACATTAAGTGTGCCCCAAATAATGTAGTAGTACATATGTATCTACTTTTGCTCGTTGCTTGTACGTGGAGGTGGTGACACACCACTGCTGACGGATTCGTTAAGACCCCAGGGGCCACCATTAAACTGGACCACGATGTGCTTTCGGCTTTTGCTGGTTGGGTTTCTCGTGAAAATGTTATCTTTCCTTGTTGCCAAACGGCCACAATTAATTGGTGATCCAAGCCAAACGTCCCAATCCAGTATCCAGAGAGTCCACGCTGTGATAATCTGGCATGCAAGTGTAAATAAGTTGGAATCTCAGAAAAAAAAGATCCCCGCTCAAGCGAGCATCGACGCGGTTCTCCTAGCCCCGAGTCGGTGGTGGAAATTCGACAGTTCTATGGCGAGGACGAGTTCACCCAGTGCTACTTCTGCAGTGGCAATAATAGTTCCTGTCCGGGACGGCTGGCAACTTGGGTGCAATTGGAGATGCGCGTGGTGTTTCTTTGAGTATGAAGGATCACTTTTGAGAACATAAGTCCCTATCAGAGACCGCGGGTCAGGCTGCCACAAGGGCACTTGAATCATACCCGTGACAGTCCCCGGTTGTGGTGATAGATTGTTAAGGAAGGCATTCGATACGGATTCTGACTTAATTTGCCCACGCTAATTCATCATTGCAATGGGCTCCTCAAGAGAGACGGCACCGTGGCTACAACAAACCTGGTGCTTTAAACATTAATTGGCCTCGCGGAATGCTGCGCTGTTCCATGCAGGCGCGCGCGCATGGGAATTGATCGGGGCTTGGGACATTTTGAGACCTGCTTTGATACGGACATTCCGTGTTCGCCCCCTTCGCGAATCGGTGCTGCTTCAGAGGCGCGGCTGTGGGCCATGAGAAATTAAACGCTAACATTTTACAGCCCTTTGTCATCAACCCGCTGCATGAAAAATATTTTTGTTAGCGGAGGTGCAATTTGTGGTCTTGGTACTCAAAGAAAGATACACTGGAGTCGAAAGATTTGTCATATTAGGTGTTCTAGTAGCAGACTAAATTGTATGTTTTGGTGCATGGCGTATGGTCTAATGTGGAAATTGTGTGGTTGATCGGGCTTGCCAGACATGGTCCTAAAGGTCTTTAAAATGTCCAATCAGCCTATTTCAGTATTCACTTCCTGGACATCTTGACCGAGTGACCGATGTAAATTCTAATAGTGGCTAATGTAAAACTGGATTTGATAGAATGTTTTTCAGGATCCAGCTGTCATGGCCAGTGACTTTGATGCCACTACACCTCACCAATGTTTTGTACCCTTTGCTAACCAGCAAAAATCTGAAATCCAAAATGTAGACGTTGGACTCTTAAATATGATGGTCCCAGAGGTTGATTGATTTCACACTCATAGGGCAGGGTCAGCCTGAAGTTCTACATGATTTTAAGTCTAGTGATAAACAATCAGCAAAGCAATAAATTAGCCTCTCATGGAGTGTGTCACTAAAGCGAGTAGAAAGTGATTAAAGCCTGCCACTGGTCATTAGCGTGGTATAATATATTCTTGTACCCTTATACACACAGTAAGGGCAGTGGAATTGTTACCGTGCACACCGGCGGTAACGTAATTGTCACTGATTAAACTTCCCGTCGGGATATGTTGCGTTTGTTCACGTGCGCTGCAGTCTGCCGCCAAGAGCACCAGGCTGCGCCTGGTGTTGGCGAGCTGGCAATGGTGGCGTCCTGCTTGCTGCAAGGAGCGTCTTTGGGCCTGCTCTCCCGGCTGACGTGCTCCTGTCCGCGGGCCTGGCTGCGCAAGTCGTCGTCGTTGGCGGTGGGGGGCGGCTGCCGCCCTGTGTCGTTGGCGCAGGGGGCTGGCGGGACGCGCATGGCGCACCGCGCTGCCACCCGCTACGGCTTCGAAACAAGTGGCGCACGTACAGTGGCAAACGGCGAGGCCGTACGGGAACGACGCGGGTAAGAAACCGACAGCTGCCGATGTAAATAACACCCCCCCCCCCTCCGCCGCCCCTTATCACTGGCACATCCGAGCTGAGCCAGCGCGGGACACTCGCAGTGCGGGCGGTTTTCCACTGGCCGTTTGGCGTGCCGAGCTGGAACAGACGATTGCCTGTGTTGCGATCGAAACGTCGTGATCTATTATTTTGCATAGAATCGTGTTTAAGAATTAGTTATAATATTTGTGGGAATTATACCGACATAGCTTTCGGCTAAAAGTGCAAAAACACACCGTGAGATTAATTCGCTGGCATAAAAGATCCGGTACGCATCTGAAATATAATAATTCTATTCAAGTAGTAGATTTTTTTTGGGCACTTTGATGCAAACCTATTTTGTTTATTGTGAAATCCAAGACAGACAACTTACAAACTCTTTCTCCTACGTCAGCAGTTCTCCTGCTGTCGTTGTCCCACCTGATGACGGTTGCTTGTGTTGCGATCGAAACGTCGTGATGTATGAATTTTCTATCTACGTGACTTTACCGAAAGACCCAAAGGGTATGGAATAATACCGTGGTAAGCTGGCCTCACAAGACATCTGCATCTGGCTCAGAGCTCAACAGGGCCAGGGGGTTGAGTTTAATGCTGCGTTAATTGCTCGTGACGTAGTCAGTCAGTTCGCCGTGAGGATATTCACGGCGTCATCTACATGCGTCAAGACTCATTTGTTGCTTGCGACGTCAGTGGCACGGCGCGGCTTGTGCAGTGGAAAAACAACTTGGCGCCTCCTGACCCATGTCAGGCTGGCTCTACACAGTCCCAGCACAGCTCTGTTTTACGGTGGGAGAGCGGTATATTAGATTTGTATGAGATTGTTCAATATTTGTTTTACATTTTTCAGAGTATTAGAGGTCATATGTTTTCCATCTTGATGGCATTATCGTTTGTTTTGAAAGCGTTCATTAGACTGCACCTTCCTCCCCAATTTCTCCAGTCTGTACCTGCCTAAGAACATTGGGGTAAGAACATTGCGCTATGAACCTAGTGACCTCCAGTGCAACTTCCAGCCACGGCTAATGCGAGGAGCAAGTGAATTCGTCAGCCCACGCTGGACCAGCATGGTGAGGTATGGTCAAACAATCCGATGATCAACATAGCATGGAGGGGAGAACCCTCTTCAGTAATGGATTGACAAAGGGCTTTCAGTTAGTATAAAATGATTTACTATTTGATTATGGTAATGAATCCCATACAAAAATTGTAAATTTCGTTTTTCACTGAAACAGTCCAAACATATACATCAATTGAAATGCAATGTTATTGACAATTCTGCTTAAAATTCAGCAAGCATGTCTGTCGCCAGGTGCTCATTTACTGTCGCTTGACACGATTTGCAGGGTTTTCCCTACGTTGGTGTGCTAATTAGTTAGGAGTGTAACAACGCATTAATTCAACCATTAAAATCAGTTTTCACACTCGGAGTATACGGATCATACTGTGCCTCTGAGAATTCTTGATGATACACAGTTTACGCAAATTATATGCACATAATATGCTTATGTTATATTTAGGCCAACGTGAACAAAACTGAACAAACTAGAATAACAAATAAACTAAATGTGATATAAACAAGAGAGTAAAAATAACTTAAAAAAATGTAGGTACTTAGATCGAAAGTAAGAACTGGTGACAATGCATCAATTACCGACGCATCAACTACATGCCTACTAATGATGCCAGCTACCAGTTAAATCTTACTCTCTCATGTCCATGTTCCCTTGAGGCACCACATGTACAGCCTTTCCATCGAGATCGAGCGTAGAACACTGCAATCGTTTTTGAACAGTGGACATGCTGACACATCTTGTTTAAAAACAAAAAAAATCAGAGGACCGTTCTGCTCCGTTCGGCCCGCACTTAATATTCTCCGCTAGGAATGAGCGGATCGGGTGCAGACACAGCCGTCTGCAAATTGGGCAGAGCCCCATCAAACTCACTGGACTGAGGAAATGTTCCCTCCTCAAGCAGCCCATCCACATTCTAGATTTGAAGCTTTCGTGACTGCAAGGATTCATATTCTTAGGTTTTTTCGGTAAAGTCACGTAGGTAAAAAAATTAAATTAATAAAAGTAAAATAAAAATAAAATAAAAATCACGACGTTTCAGAGGCAACACAAGCCTCACCTGAAGACGGAGGCTTGTGTTGCCTCCGAAACGTCGTGATTTTTATTTAATTTTTATTTTACTTTTATTAATTTAAATAAAAAAAATTGACCTACGTGACTTTACCGAAAAAACCTAAGAATATGAGCCCATCCACATGTTGTCACACGGGAGTTGCTTCCTCAGCACCGTTGACACGCCATTGGACAGGCGAGCGGCGGAGTAAACTTTGCAGTCGGGATTACTGCCATCTCCGTGAGTTTTAATAAATAGATGGAGTTTACAGCCGTTTGTCAATGCACTGTTGGGCAAAGGCCTCCCTGTGCTGTGATCAGTCACAAGCGTTTTGACCATACATCACCACATTGGGGAATGCGTGTCGGTGCAAAGGAGTTGGATCTCCAACTGCGTGTGTTGCCACACTACCCCAGTTTACATGCATAGAAAATTTCTGTTTTCAAAAAGGATTACTAATGAATAGCACATGCATCAGAATGTTTAAGTGTTCCTTTTGTAAAATTGAACATTTAATAATTCTCATGCTGACATGTAACATTAACATTTCAACAAGAATGCTCATATCAGTAATTAGAGTGACACAGAATAAAGCGCGTGACATTCCCGTGCGAGACGTAACAATGAAATGCCAGTCGAATCTGAACGCTCAGAATGATTTATTTCATTGCTCCACTTGTTTGTTGCACCGTGCATTTCATAAAGTATTTCCGAGGGATTTGTCATTCGGTGGCTCTTTTCAATTCCCCCACTTTGCAACGCGTCCGACTGCCCTTTGCCAAACCTCCGCCAGAGACGGGAGGCACGGACCGCGAACAACACGAGACGGCGGGGAAGCCCAGGAAAAAGACGCCCCCCCCAGGCAAGCAGACCGTGAGCAGCATCGGCCGCAGGATCGAGGCGCGGGTCGTTCACCTCGTCGACGAGAACGGGACCGACCTGGGGCACGTGCACCGGGCCAACGCCATCCGCATGATGGAGGAACGAGGGCTCAAGATGGTGGCCCTGCGGGAGGACGCCGACCCGCCGTTGTACCGGCTCATGTCGGGCAAGCAGATCTACAACGAGCAGCTGAAGCTCCGGCAAAAGCAGCAGGACAAGCCCCAGAGTGGTACGGGGATGATGGGGGGGGGGGGGGGGGCGTACCTCGCACACAACAACTATGATGCTCATAATAAAAGTAAGATACGTACAGGAATACATTTTTGGTTGGAGAAACCTCAAGGAGTTTGCACACGTGTTATAATAATGATTTATTGCCCTTTGTCAGTCCACTCGTGCATGAAGGTTTCCTGATGACGTCAGTTACGAGGTTTGTTTGACCATACTTCACCACGCTGGTCAGTGTGGGATGGTGAACCGGCGGCCTGGACCAGGTTACAGAACTCGTCACTGGAGTTGCCTGTGGCCGGGTATCGAACTCGCGTCGCTGCGCTGTGCTCGAACCACTGCGTCAACGCACGGCCCCAGTAGTCACGATGATGTCAAGTATTTACCCAGGAGAGCTTCACTTGAGTCTGAAGACTCTTTTTTCAGGAGGCTTCTGCATTGTGATCCCAAGACCATTGATGAGTATTTAGCTTAATTTAAGAAACCGGAGTACCCAGAGAAACCCCACCACACTCGGCACCTCCTGGCCACCTCGCAGCCCCACACCTACAACGTCCGGCAAGCCCTGGCAGTCACCCATTCAAGCGCCAAACCAAGCGCGACACCAAGCGCGACCCTGCTTGATTTCCGAGGTCTGACGAGAGTCAGCTGATCGTATGGCGTCTGTTCCTACGAGCATTGTCACTTGCCACTGAACGCTGGCACACAGCGGACACCTTGAGCATCTTTGCCAAAGTATTTCTGCTGCGAGTGTGTTTTGTATTCTACCTGGGTAATCACTTGAGATGGGAGCATCTCGTTCGCAAGGGTGTAAATTGGGAGTGGAGATTTTAACACGTAGGCTTTCACGACAGATATCATCCATAAGAGGTTTTGTGGGTAAATGTGTCGTTAAATCCGCCATCATTTATTAACCGCCCACCCACCCTCTGGCCTCCGCACGTGAGGTGCTCACAAGTGACGCCATCACATCTATCCCTCTATTTAAGGAACGAAACAGGAGGATTTCTCCACAAATCTGGATATCTGCCTGATGATGCTAGTTGTAATTACTGGCCAAACGTCGTGCTCAGATTGTAAATGTGGATTTTCTCTCCAACACACCAGTGTGCTGTTCTAGTCACGAATTGGCCACGTTCTGTTCACGTGACAAAACTTACTAGTTGGCTGTGTCGGGTGGTGGCGGGTTTAAGGACACATTTATATATTAACGCGATCTCACCCAAAACACCTCTATTGTGGATGGGAGTGGAGACTTGGTCAATGAAGATACGGTTCGCTACCCCGAATTAACGTTTTTCATCACGCGAGATGTCGGCTCGCAACGATTAGCCACCGCTCAAGGTTAAACGGCTTGTCCGAGACGTTGAGCATCACAATGCAATTCAAGAATCAATTATTTTTGGTTTTTACTTTATATCGTGCTGAATGTATCTCGTGGCTGCAGGGGTAAGATGAATCAATTGCACGCAATGTAATTTTAAAATAACATTCTTACGTCGATTCTTACCCATGTATCATGAGCATACTCAAATAATAAGAATAGATTAATCGATCCTTTGTTGTGTGAAAAACTAAAAAAAGTGTCATTCGAACTGTGGGATTAACAAGAAAAATATCTAAAAGGTAACATGTAGAGTAATGCCCTTCTTCAGAGCACGTTGTTACGTGGTTGACGTCATGAAAGAAATCTGAACAATTCAATGAGAATACATATTCGCAAACACGAGGACCTGGACCTAATATCTGAGTTTAATGAGCTGAACTTGTTCCATCGTAGTAATGGCCTGATTACATTTTAAAGAACACTATAAAGTTAATAGCTTTTTTTTTTATCCGCCGCAAAAAAAATAACTTCACGTCTAAAAATGAAAACCCCTCTCTATACAATGGTAGCCACTTAAAAAAAACGAATGCTTTGTTCCTTTGGCTGTTCCACGTTTAGTTTTCACCTCTCACTTAAGAGTGCATCTCCATTCCGATAACATGCCGTGTTTCATCCGGCTCCTTTTCCCGGGGGGCTTGTCTGGAGCACCCTTGCAATTTCCAAGTTGTATCGACACGTTTCACCCACCTCCACCAACACCCCATGGTACACGTGGAATGACAATACGCGAACACGATGATTCGTGTAAACGAGTCTACGCGCCAACAATGGGGATTGGCAACCCGATGATTGCTCCGCGCGTTGTCCCACTGCGCTCGCAATGTCTCATCCAGCGCATCCAAAGTTGCGCGCAAGCTTTATGTCCGCATCAATCACGACAAGCGTATCCCGCAACAAAAACCGAGACCGTAAGCTTTTTTTGAGATTTACCGTATTTACTGGAACAATTTTGACGGCTTTCAAAAATAATCCACCTCTCGAGCGCTTCATTTTTTGTCTCCCAAAGTTAAACGGCCAATTTGCTGTTTCAGCGCACAAATGTGCCGGGCCTCTGCCGCGACCAGGAAAATGCGCACGTGATGGGGCTAATGGAAATGCACTCTGCAACTGGAAGGGCCTCCCTCCGTTCAGTCGGCACATCGATCGCATCTCTTGCCGCGGAATTGTGGAGGTGGGGTTAAACCAGCTGTGCCTCTGATCCTCCGTGATCCACCTCTGTGTGCTTTGTTAACAACGACGCGGTTGTGTTTCTTAGATGTGGCAGAACGGCAACAACGCGGTGTATGATATAGCGTCTGAATGCAACCGCATCTAAAGACGCTTTTATCATCATCATCGGCCATGATCAATCCTTCCCCGAGCTGTTGCCATACCTGATGCGACAAGAAACACTTCACACAACCGTGATATCAACTAGGTCAGAGCAAAAGGGATCGAAGTGGGATAGGGAAATAATAATCTTGCATTTTATTAAAAATCTTTCACAACGAATTCTCAAAGCGCTGTAAAATACACACACGACACTCCCAATTAGGAATACATTCCCAACAACACAACAAAAGCTGACATTATCTACACTCTCAATATAGATGAAGAAATACAAAGCCAATAATCATGATCATTACACTCACAGTATTTGTAAAACTCAATCAGATTACCGGCAATAGCAATGAATAACAATAGGTTTTCAAACTAGATTTAAAAGTGCGGACAGTCACAATTTCTGACATTGGGATAGCAACATTGCACGGTGTTGGTGTACAGCAGCAGCATGCACGATTACCCAGCAGCGTTCAGCTCTTCGACGCACGTACGTCGAACTTACTTTCGCACCGTACGTAGCCAGCCATGCTAATCGGAGGTGCAGGGGAAGGACAACAAACTAAACATAAAAAGAAGTTGGCATCGGTGTGGAGAGACCGGAACTCCAGGGAATGTAAATAGCGTGAGAGCGGTTCACTGAGGTAATCACAAAACATGGGAGAGCGATAGAAGAGAGAGACAGGCCTTGCGGCATTGTCCTGAATGAAGAACGATGCCTCAGGGACAGCTGGAGCAGCCAGGGCACCACGCCAGTGAGTCCCACGGTATCCTCAGGGAGCCAGGCACATCGCAAATCTCAGAGCAGTGGTGAAGCAGCAGATGGCTGTCCGCTCTGCAAGAAGGAAATGATGATGAATACCTTCCACATTAGATACAAGTGCCGAGGCTGCATTGTACAGCACTGAGTTGCCACAGGAAAATATATCGGTGCTTCAATGTCAAAATACCTAAAGCCTGCCTCGTTCATACCACATCAAATTGTATTCTCCTTTATATCATTATGGGAAGTATAGCAGGAGTATGCGTACACCACCTATCTGATTGGCGTTTTATGATTCGCCTTCACTTATTTTTTATGACTTTTAACAAGTCTCAGCGCGATCAAAGTGAATGTTCTTTGTTGGGAAATTTGTACCGCCTGCTTGGAACCGGCTCATTCTGATGTGTTTGTGTTGTTCTTTTATTTACATTCGCCTTGAAGGTAACATTTCCATGTCATTTGCCTAATTTACAAATTTTATTAGTACGTTTTTTTCTGAATAGCGTTCCACACATCAACGCGGATTAGGGGAGTTATCGTGCACAGGGACTCCTCTACCTACGAACAAACCTATGGAACCGAACTCGTTTGTAAAAAGAGAATTCCCTGCAATCCTTCCCAACAGGCCATTGAATATTGTGAACGCTATTAGTTCCATATTCTACAGAATAGTGTCAGCATTCAATCAATGTATTTAATTCATGTGTATTGAGATTATAGTGGAGGGGCATCAATTAAAGGTATTTTAAGACCGTTTTTTGTACGGTACGTATGGATTAAGACAGTAAAAAGGCTTGTGCATTTAATGCTCAGTTTTGTATTTTACATTTACTCGCTTTAGGCCAGACGCAGATCAAGGAAATTTCATTCTCGGCCGACATCGGGAAGAGCGACCTGGAAGTGAAGGTGCGGAAAATCCAAGAGTGGGTGCTGGAGAAACGACACCACGTGAGGATCAGCATCAAGAACACCAAGAAGAACTGCTGACACCGATAAAATGGTCAGTTGTGTTGGTCTAGCGATATATTTTTTTATTTTCATCCATTGTTGTAGTAAACCAGAAGTCTGCAGCAATTAACCCTTTACCTTTCCGAGACGTCTGCAAATTGCAGGGTGGGTGTCCCGTTCGCCGCCGAATCTCTGAACGTGCAAGCGGTACAGCGTTAGTTTTATTTAGAGGCGTTGTGCCTTGAAGGCGTTCTACTCACCGCAGAGAACTGTCGTTTATATTTAGTTTTTTTATCGGTTCACTATATGGTCGTCATTATATAGTGTAGTGTATACCCAGTTACTTAATGTTAATAGCTCAGCTCATTGGAGAGTATATTGAGTACATTGATTATATTGATGTATTTTATATATTTTTTTCACATCGGTTTATTGTATGGAAGTAGGGTAGTTGCAGTTCTTTAGCGTCAATATGCTAAATTCCTGTTGATATGTAAACTCCTTTGTCAAAGGTGCTCTGCTCCTCCCACCCAGCTTAAAATACGCTGCCAAGCTTAGCAGTGTTCATTACGACGCTGTTTTTCAGACAGCTTTGTTCTTCACCTGAGGACAGCTGCTTGTGTTGTGGCCGATACGTCGGTAAAGTCACATAGAAGGGAAATAATAAAATAATAAAAATAAAACATAAGAACAGGTCTATCGAGAAGACTGTCTTCTCGATAGACCTGTTCTTCACCTGAGGACGGCTGCTTGCGTTGTGGCCGAAACGTCGTGAGAATTATTTTATTATGTTTTATTTTTTCCATTCTACGTGACTTTACCGTAAGAACCAAGAAGATGAATCCCTGCAGTCACGAAAGCTTTAAATCGAAATTTAACCAAGATGTAGCAACACTACCGCACTCTATGGTAGCTGGCGCCAAACTGTGCCACGTCCTCCCGCAGGACCTTCCGATTCCGTTCTGATAACCCACACGTGCGTTACATGTGCCTCAACGGAATGGATTAAGAACTGGAATCATGTTTGGAACGTGCGGGCACTCTCCCTACAGACTTTCGAACACCTACCCAGTGTTGAAACAACCACAATTTTACCTCCCCGAATGTGGACTAAATGCGACTGCTAAAATGAAGATATGGTTCACAAGCGCATAAAAATAAGGCTTGGAATACGACGACGATTACGATGTTGGCAAACCCTTCTCTCAATTCAGTTGGCGATGGCAGGATCTGTGCTGGAGCCCATCGCAGACAACGCCACGTACGTGTCCGCGCCGCGCACAGTCAACGACGGCGCCACCGTCACGTGCATCCTGCGGCACATGTCGGAGCGCGAGCGAGCCGAGCAGCGTCGCAAGCAGGGCGCGGATGGCGCAAGGGCGACCAAGAGCCAGCCGAAGAGGGAGGCTCACAAAGGGCCAGAGGTGGTGGCAGCACAAGGCAGGGAGACGTCTGGAGAGGAAGCCGACAGCCCGACTGCTGGTGGAATTGGCTCTACAGCGCAGGAGCAAGCCCCGGAACAAGCCCCAGAGCTTGCCAGCCAGAACGCAGCCGCATGAGCCCAAAGATGGGAGATCTTGACTCTATAAAAAAAGGTGTAATATTTTTCCACGTACGATTATTCTGAAAGCGTCGCTTCAAGTAGAATTGAAACTGTCCAGATTACACTTTTCATTACTCGTATGACCTTGCAATGTGCTAACAAGTCCTCTTGGGCTCCGATGAGTTGTTTTTCCGCACTTTTTGTTTGCACAATTATTCTCTCCGATTTGCGGACAAATTTACTTGGAATGTCACTTTGAAAAAAAAAATGCCGTTGTAATTTTACTTTCATATGTACGTCCAATAAAACAAATTGCCCAGTCATTACGAAATAATAGTTTCAGGAGTTTATTTATAAAGAAATAATCTGCAGAATCTCTACTTTCATGTTTATTCACTGCAAGTGGACAAAAGACATTTGAAACAAAAAACATTTACTGCACTACTTATGCAGTATTCAGAAGAGAAATTGTGAAAACAATATAACAGCTAGGCATGTGCAAATGTACAAGTTCTGTTATGATTTACAATGCAGGCGTGCAATTACATATTACACAGCTGTAGCCATTAACGTGTATTCACAAGTACCTTTTGAACACAGTAACTCAGCCAGATGGAAATGCAATTTGGCTTCAGACTAATGCATAGCGGGCTTTCAAATACATATCAAAAGTCATGCAAAGCAACATTCGTTTAAATGAATAGTACCTTTATTCATACTGACGGTGATGTATGTGCCCACTTTCAAGATGCTTACATGACCACAAAGCTTTGATTTTGCAGCGTACAAAAACCACACGCCCAAGAGGTTCATTCCTCACATGGAGGCTTCATTGTCAATCTGGTCTTCGATCGGCGATATTTGCAGCCTATCGACATTATCTTTGCAACCAATCGGAATCGGACCACCTCGTTTGTCTCTGCTACACATTTTAATGACGCTATTTCTCTGCAAACCAGAATCTGCTTCGACTGTGTCAATCTCGGAAGTAAGCGCCGTTTCGTTTCCCTCGTCAGGCACGGTCGCAGCGCCGCTGTCCACCCCGGGTGCGGACGGAGCGTCCGCTGACCGGGCAGCCGCGTTTGTCTCGCGGCATCGCTCCTCTGTGGGGTCGCGAGAGCCGCAGCGAAGGCCAGCTGTTTCGGGCGAGCAGCAAGGAGGCGGGGAGCCGATGCTCGCCTTGCCAAACAGAATTTCTGGCAATTCTCCGTGGCACGCTTCAGTCCCCGACACCGCCTCGGAGACCACCGCCGTGTGCCTGGATCCCACTGAGCCGTGACACCAACGTGCGTCTCCGACAAGTGCGCTTCTTCTGCAAACGTAACGAGGAGGAATACGTGATTTTTTTTCTCTCCGTGTAAAGCATGTACAGTGTATGAATAAACAATGCCGATGATTGTTGAACGATAACTTACTTTGAGTTTCTTCTTTTCGGGATCGTGCATCACCCCATGGCGGTCCAAGCTTTGCTGTAAAGGCAACGTTTGTGACTTGACAATGAAAAATGTAAACACTCGTAACACTGGCTGTGATGTCAGCCTTTATTTTGCAACAGGTGAATAGAAGCAATCGTAACCAAATGATCAAAAATGCTCTATTGAGTTTTCACGTAGCATTACTTAACGTAGCCTTAGCATTGCGATTAATACGCAAATCTTAAAAATCACTATGCACCAGCCTCATGTAACTGAAAATGCTTTTCACGCGGTTTGTGGATCATTTCAGCATAATAAGCAAAAACGTAGTGTATTGGGAAAATTCTGAACCTTAAACCATCTTGATATCTTTAACTTTGTTGGTGCTTCTGTTTCAACTTCCAAAAATGACACGAATGCCATCTCATCGCTCGTGTAAATCGAAGACTTTAGATTCACCTTCATAGCAAATTTTCGTCCGCAGCCAGGATGAGGGCAGCTGTGTGGGCGCACGTTTTCGTGGAAGGAGATCAGGTGGGACCGCAGGTTGAACGCCTGTGGTGTAGGTTCGCTCGCAGCCGGGGTTCGGGCAGGCGAACACCTCTCGCGACTCGGCATGCGTTTGCTCATGCTCGTGCAGAAACGCCCGTCGTTTGAACGTCCGCCCGCACTTGTTGCAGACGTGACAGCCTGCGACGCACAATCGAATCGTCCACCCCTTTTGCTGCTGGAACATCTGAGCCGCGCAAACGCGGGGCGTCCTCACGGCTACAGATGGCTTTTCCCACCGGACATTTGCTGCGACGTTAGTCGGTGCGCACCAACTCCCAACACGGCGGCGCCACGTGTCGTCTACGTGCGTCTCGACTCGTTCGTCGCATGCGACGTCGGTGGCGTGGCTCAAATTGTGCCATGGAAAAAAAACAGCCCGATGCCTCGCGAGCCGTCCTGGGGGCTGGCTCGGCATGGCCTCAGCCCAGCTCAGTTGTACAGTGGACAAGGGATAACCTTGTAACCGAGGTCAGAGTGTTATCAGAATGACGTAGATGTACAACCCTGAGTCAAGCCGTTGTTGGCGGCCTTACCACACAGTGATGGTAGGTTATTTAACCATATTTTAACCACGCTGCCCACTATGGGTTGAAGATTTGAAGATGGGGAGCGTAGATGTAGGCACATAGACGTAGAGTACAACGGTGTATTATTGCTGCACTGCCACCATGCACTAACCAGCATGGTGAGGAGTGTTTAAGCATCCCCAAATGGACATGGTGCAGAGGCCTTCATCCAGCAGTGGATTGACATAGGGGCTGTAAATAAATAAAAAAACGAGGAGACATCACGGACCTGGATGCTGCTGTGCTGCGTGCGATCGCACCTCGCTCCAGGTTTTCGCAACAAAGTCACAGCCTTCCGTTTTGCACGTATAACCTGCACAACAAAAATATAATCAGGGGAAGTAATACACAACAGCTGCTGCAGACATTCCAACAAGCTCACCGGACCTAAACGTTCCAGCACTTACCCAAGTGGGTTTTTTCATGTCTCTTGAGTTGCCTTGCCTGAAGGAACTTCTGTTCACATCCGCTGTGGAGGCACCTGTTTGAGATAATTGGCAAAGATGAAATGCCTGTGCCAAAGGAGGTCACCAAACGATTTGCTGTGGGGTTTTTCCCCCTTCAATACCATGACAAATACGTGGCAAACTGCATTGATTTTTACATATTGTAAACAATGTGACTGGTAAAAAAAAAAATTATAACATCACTTTTGACATCCGTGAGCAAAACTAAATTCTCAAATAAGTTCAGACGGGAACATCTTTAATGTTTTTTAGGGGATCAATAGAAATGAACGTTACATGTGGGCTAAACGTTCAATCAGGGAAAAATTACTATAATTGCGTCAATGGGTTTTTTTATTACTTAAAATGGAATGTTAAGACAGGAGAAAACAAAAAAAGAATGTTATAATCAGGCTATTATCGTACAAATATTACGACAACCACTGGTGACTTCATGGCAACTAGCAAGCGAACTTGAACTCAAAACAATATTTTAAACACTCTGGATATATCTTTCAACGTAACAGTTTTGCAGATGATGGGCATTACATACTCGAAGGGCAGCTCCTTTGTGTGTTCATACTGATGAGTCTTCAACTGCTGGTGTTTTTTGAAAACCTTGCCGCAGCTGTCAAATTCGCACTGACAACGAACGGCGTGTACATTACGTCACTGAAATTCACATTAAAGAGTAAAAATAAGTATAACCCGTAAAAACAAAGTTTTTCACTATAAATCCTTTATATGCGTGGCGGCTAGAGTCCTCTCGTCCTCTGGCTTGAGATGGCTGCTACCTATGGGTCAGATGATTGCATTGCACCATTAAGCAATTGGTAATTAAATATAATATTTTTGTCCTGAAAAGTGTAAAATTTTGGAAAAAAATGTTCACGAACATTAATTGTCACGCACAACGAGTCTGTGTGGAAAATGTCAGCTCGATTGGATCACGGGAAGTGGGTTAAAAAACGACCGAAAGATTTGCACGGTCCTAAGCAAGCAAGCGAACTTAATATAAAGGATTTAAAAACTACTGACGTGTATCAAGACACGAACGGACACCGATATACGTGTACGACATGCTCACTTTGTACGAGGGATTTTCCTTTTCATGTTTTCGTTTCACGTGCTTCTTTAAGTTGGCGTTGGTGGTGAAGCCTTCACAGCATCCCTCGAACACACATCTGCAACGGCAAGCAGAGAAGGCAATTCAATGCACCGTCAGTCCAGGTAAGTACGCAGTGGGTGTTTTCGCCAGCATTTGTAAGTTTAATTTTGATTTGAAACTTTCGTGACTGCAGAAATCCATACTCTTTGGTTCTTTCGGTAAAGTGACGTAGGTAGAAAATTAATAGATCGCGACGTTTCGATCGCAACACAAGCAACCGTCATCAGGTGGGACAAACACAGTAGGAGAACTACTGACGTAGGAGAAAGAGTTTGTAAGTTGTCTCTCTTGGATTTCACAATAAACAAAATAGGTTTGCATCAAAGTGTCCAAAAAAAATCTACTACTTGAATAGAATTATTATATTGCAGATGCGTACCGGATCTTTTATGCCAGCGAATTAATCTCACGGTGTGTTTTTGCACTTTTAGCCGAAAGCTATGTCGGTATAATTCCCACAAATATTATAATTCATTCTTAAACAAGACTCGATGCATGCATTGTACGCGTAATAATATATTTTCAAAGGTACACCGTTAGATGCCTACCATTGTGGACCATATTGCGTATGTGTTGAGATAAACCATGACCTCTTTCAAGTGGCCTACAAAGGACACACCTTGATGAGAACACCCATGAACATTTTGATTTAAAGCTTTCGTGACTGCAGGGATTCATATTCTTGGTTCTTTAGGTAAAGTCACGTAGAAGGGAAATAATGAAATAATAAATGCTTTATATATTTCTTATTTTATTATTTCCCTTCTACGTGACTTTACCGAAAGAACCAAGAATACCCATGAACATGTTTACAATTAATGTACGTATGCATTTCATTGCACATTCCTGAGGCACAGGGCAATACACACGTACCATCTCAAGTTCATCATCTATTTTCATTACCAGCCACGTTGGTTTGTTAACGTTCAGGTCGGTTCCTATGTATGGAACTCTGTACATGCGAACGGAGTGTGTCAACGAATCCGTTACCGATAGGGCCTATCTCCGGTGTGGGTGAGCCTGTGTCTGGACAGGTGGAACTTCCTCGTAAATCCCTTGGCACAGCCTTCATAGTCGCACACAAACGGCATCTGGAGTAACACAAGAGATGTTTTGATTGTTTTTTTTTATAAACGAGAGTTAAAACAGCAAATACTTGAAATGCATGTATTTCTGTACGAAACAAAAACAACAGCATACTGTGACAGAACGTTTAAAGGGAAATGCAATCAAGTTGTTCATGAACACAAACTTGTGATCTCCAATAGAAAAGAGTCTGAAACTGCTTGGGACTGACAGAAAGTCATATGAGATCTGAGATCAGATGTGATATTAACTAGCCTGACAATTTCTGACAAGCGCCTCTGCAAGCCGCTTACAGCAACGTTTCTGAACACATTTCCTGTTAAGTATTAAAGGTATAGTGCAAATAACAGTCCATATTCAGAAGGTCCCAGTGGAAACTTGCATAAACTTACTCCTGAACAATGATAATCAATCGCAGATGTGAAGATACACAAAGTTAAATATACAGAGGGCCTGTAAAATATTGTAATATTTGGTAATACTGCTTTGGCATCGTCCTATTAAGGGCCACCGTCCAGTCTTGGCAGACGTTGAGTTTTTATTTGTTAAATATTGTGTCCAGTGTTTGCCTCTCCAGGCCCTCGTACCCGAGCCAGTAGTAGAAATTCCATATTCCCATGGCGAGGATCAGTGCTTCCATTCGGAAAACCAATGCTGTCCTAAACATCAAAAGGATCAATCTTACTTTAGAACAGACGGGGAAAAAAACACGCGTAATAAACTACCCATGGGTATACATGTCCGGCCCTTTTCTTAACGCACGACTGAATGATGGCTAACTCACGTCATACGGATGGTGGGGGTGACTTCACCATACTTCACCACGCCGGTCCGTGGGGAATGAAAGCGTGGAGAGCAAATACATTTGCTGCACTGCCCTCTGCTGCCCACTAAGGAGCACCGCTGGAATCACATTGCACCCCTGTGAGATGCGTGGCTGCTCATCCCAAGGATTGTCCAGGCTAAAACCTGCTGATCTTACGTCAGCAACAGAGGGAAGTGCAGCAAATCCCATGGTTGTACTGTACTTTCTATGCCGCCACGTCCAGTACTCAACGCTTTCACCAACGCACTGACCAGCGCGATGGATACATGTAAATCGGCATTGTGTTCGGGTGGCAGCAATTTGTTTGTACCGCTTTCTGGCGGTACACGTGGAATTGCGTTGAACTTTATTCCACTGCTGTGTAACTGTAACGCACAGTTTTGACAATAGACTTACAGTCGTGGGGAAATATAGCCGGGGTTTGGTTTCGTTGGAATGGGGTGCCAACCGCAGTGGTGAAGTATGGTCAAGCAACCCCTCGCCCACTGCAGCGTGTAAGAGGCCTTCATCCAGCAGTGGCGAGAGGCTTGCTGATGCCCACACACTCCCCACTCACCAGGCCCTCGTGGCGGTACAGATGCTCCATGAGACGCCACTCCTTGGAGAAGGTGGCCGAGCAGTCCTTGTGCGAGCACAAGTAGAGCTTGCCCCGGACACCCGCGGCGACGGACATGGTGTTTTATTTAGTTGTTTTATAATCAGAATTTAAGTTTTACAGCACACAAAAGGAGTGGGGGGGGAGAGCCTCGTGTCGGCCGTGCCGAACACGTGCTCGCTGAGAGGGGGAGACGGAGCGAGGTTCTCGCCTTGCGATTGGTCTGCGCCACAACACGTGACCGGCTCCGTGCCAGTAAGTGTTGCCAGCTTAGAGGTTTTTTTTGTTTGTTTAAACCTCCAGATGTAAAACTTGTTCGGAGCTTGATTCTTGGTTCTTTCGGTAAAGTCACGTAGAAGGGAAACAATAAAATAATAAAAATATAAAACAATAAAATTCTCACGACGTTTCGAATGCAACACAAGCAATCAGGATAAGTGACCAAATGTGTCTAGGTTTATTCACGCCAACGACACAATTTTATCATAATTGCATGTTTATTTTTTTTGTCTTTGAATGCACTGTAAGTAAAACAGACATTTAAAATGTTAATTCGTGTAATTTGAAAACATCCCATCCCCATTTTCGCAAAATTCTGCCCTGAAAAGAAAATGCATATTCAATAGGCGACGTTTCGGGCAATGACCCTTCGTAGCACTGGGAGCTGTGGCTTGTGCGTGTGCACCACTGCCCAACAACAACAACAACGAAGAGCAGCCGCCGTTCTCCACGACGCGCTCGTGCCAGGCTAGGTGCACCTCGAGGTGCGCGCGTGCGTCACGTGGGGGCGTGACGCGCGCGCAGCGACGGCACGTGACTACGTCTCGGCCGAACGCACAACAAACGTCGGCATCGCTCCCGGCTTTAATCTGTCGCGCGTTTGCGCCTTCGCCTCGGGCTTAGATTCACCGTCGAGGAGAGTTGCGTGTGGTTTTTATTTTATTTTAAACCACTCGCGTTTTGTGACGATTAAAAAAGTGAAAGTCCCGTCGCTGTTTTAGAGTAGGCCGCGCTTGAAGCCTCGGCCTGGCCTAGTTTCCCTGCGGACTCTGGGTGACCCCCGTGCCCGGCGGAGATGCAGCCCGCGGAGTCGCCTTGAGCGGCTTAAAGCGATGTTTTAAATACATTTAATACGGCTGTTATGTGCGCAGCTTGTGTCTAGCCGAGAAATAACTGCAATAATGGACGAAGCCGAGCTCGAAAGGTGATTTTATTTCTAACTGAGGCTGTGCCGTGCTGGGTCGATATATCGATTATCGGCGGTATGGGAAGTCCGATAAGTGTGGATTTTGCCTGTGGCGGTGCAATTGCTGATTTAGCGGGAGGGGTTAGTAAACATGATGTGACTTTATAGTCGTGCTGGAGTTCGTTTTCCCACGTAAATAATCATGCACAGCCCATTGTAAACCCACTGGCAGGCCTCTTGCACGCCGTGGTGTTTCGTGGTGATTCGTGGCGATTGCTTAACCGGTCGGTGCGTGGTGGTGAAGGTGTTGGGTGAGGTTCGCATTTCAGGCGCCACTGATGTTAGCCGTGGACAAGGGGGATGGCTAAATTAGTATTGCGAACCGCGGACTACTTAAATCAACGCTATCCCACTGGTGAAATTCGCCAAATGTCCCAATGCAGAACCAGCCTCAATAATAATAATAACTTTTAATTTCTCTAATTTTCTTCAACACAAGAGTATTGAGACTATGATGCTTTCCTGGATTAACGGGACAGTACCGTGTTGTGTTTTCACAGTGCTTGTGATGTCACTGGATCATGACTTCAATAAAAATTATTTCAACATTGCTAACAATGCTAAACATTTGAAGTAAAAAAGTGCCAATATGTGGATAGTCCACAGTGGTTACCATATACTCGAGATAATCTAGATAATCTGATCCCTGCCCTAGGAATGAGGAATTTCCACCACTGGCTCAACTCTGCCAGCATATATGAAATTTGTGCCATGCTCGTTCAGCGTAGTTCATAATTTCTATGACCTAATGTTTTTCAAGACAACTTTTGGATGAGTACATGATAAATAAGGATTTCGGGATGTATTGCCGTAATATGCGTGGCCCTTTTTTTTTCTTCAATATTTTAAGGCTTGCCAGGGAAGAGATTCTACAAGAAGCAAATCGGGGCAGAGTGCGAGCAGAGACTATGGGAACTATGGGCTGGTGAGTTCATCATGGGTTTATAAAACATACTTTTACACTTGCCACATTTAATGGCTAATGTGCATCAATAAATGTATTTCCACCAGTGAAAAGTGAGTTTTCGATCCGTTTTTAAATAAACTGCTTTGACTTGTGGGCTTTGTTGATCAAAACAGTCGAACCTGTTGCATTTAAAAATTCTTCACTAAACGGGGGCTTTTGAACTTTTGACCAAAAAAATGTAATTTCCCCCATTTTTATTTGTATTGTGCAATTGGCATTATGTCAAAAAACAAAGAATCAAGTTGGATCTCTAGCACAGCAGTACAACCCTTAGTGTTTTTGGGAATGGCCCACGGAATCGGATATCACAGGGTTATTCATAAATGTTTTTGGGTTAGATCGCGTACTGATTGGCCGTGTCGGGTGGTGAAGGGTTTCGACACATTTATACTCACGCGATCTAACCCAAAAACATTTATTATGAATAATACTGGTCGCGAAACCCTACGTGTTAAACTATCACAGGGTTACCTACGAGATTCCTTTAAGTGATCACTGTTTCATACAACAGAGGGCAGCACTTTCCTACCTGCTCTCGGAATGAGTGTTATTTGTCACATCATGGTTACACTAATAGTTGTATTCTCATAACGGGAATATTACCAAATTAGTGCGGAACCAAATGTAATGTCATTTTTGTTTTTTATGCATTGGAGACCAGGTTCAGATCAACAACTTGGTACACTTGAGAATCTGTGTCATCACAGGCAGCTATCTGGATACAATTCCAGTCTCAGTGGAGCCAATTCAGTGGTCTGAGCTCTTGAGAGACATATCTAAATCTTTACACTTGAATATTCGATTGATTGTGATATTCGAAAACAGGGCCTTCAATTAACATGTCTTTCAACGATTATCCAGGTTTAAAACCGCCTTCCGCCATTATAATTACCTGTGCTGCACCAGCTAATGCCAAGACATCAAATTCAAATTTGCACTGGTTTTCACTGTTCCAGGCAAAAGTGCCCCCTGCCTGCCACCAACAAGCGCTTCTTGGTGAACACGCTGCGCGGTGCACTGATGCCCCCACGCAGCCGGGTAGCTTCCTCGTCAAGAGACCACGCCAGTCGTGAAGACACTTCCAGCCCACCTTCAAAAAGCCCTGTGCAGGGACACAAAGAGGAGAGCCATGATGACGGAGCAAAAGAGAAACATTTAAAGGAGAAGACCAGGAGAAGGTATGGTTTTAAGCCATACCAGAAGCCCGGGGAGACACATCATAGCGGCTCAATGAAGGAGAAAATGTATGAGCACAATGGCACTGATAAAGTGATGCAGACCAGCAAAGGCGAGTTTCGTAAAGAACGGTAGTGCCGTGCTGTTTGATTACTGCATCACCCATGCTGTTACTGCATGCACTGCACTGCTGCACTGTGCTTTGTGGCTACAAACTGTTCATGTTACCAATATCATTTGATGTGACCTTTCTTTAACTGAGGGAATATCCTTTTGGCAACTTTGACCTCACCTCAGGACTTAACACAGGGTTTGCACAATGTGATTATCAAACTGATAAATGGCAATACGGTATATTAAGTTTAAATGCGCTTATTCCTATAAGAGGTGCCATGGCACAGTGGTTCGCATACTTTGCTATGATCCTAGAAATACGAGTTCAGTTTCCTGCCACAGCTAATATCAATGCTGTGTGATATCTGAATTGGTTCTGGTTCCTGTCCGATCACGAATTTGAATGAACGAACATGGTGAAAGATGGTAAAACAACCCCCATGATCGACACGGCATGGGGAAGCCTTCATCTGGCAGTGGATTGACAAAGGACTGTGAATAATTTCTAATATTCCTATGAATTAATGTCATATTATCTTGATTCATTGATTAATGGTGTCTACCAACAATTGTACTTACATTTTACAAACATAGGAAAAGCAATACAAAAAGCAATATGAACATTCAAACCATGAATGGGTCCAACGATGTTTGTGAAATGTTCGTGGCATTCTCATGCCATGAGGCAACCCAACAGCATTTTATTTTGACCGGCCACTATGCTGTTGGGATCAGAAAGTCAAATCAGATGGCCCTGCAGGTTGATGAACCCAATTGTCACTTTATTCTTACATGCAACAGCATACACACGTTTTTGTCTCAGTTGATATGAAAACAGTTCTGCTGCACAAGTCTCGTATGCCTGGTATATAATCTTCCAATGTCATTTACTGGTGTAATACGTAATGTGTATATAACATAAAAATGAGGTTGATCAGAGGTTTATACCAGTGGTGGGGACCCTTTATCTTATGGAGAGCTGAGTAAGACTTTCTAATTCCTTTCGCCGGTGGCACATTAACACACTTCAGTCACTTCTGTTGCTGTAAGAGGCCCTTGAGGTAAGAGAAGTGACTTAAGTGCACTAAAATTAGAAACACTGTTGCCAGGTTGAAAATATTTTGCACGAGTATCGATTTATGTGGCTAATATGCTTGCACAAATATCGTCTACAGGCCTCTTCAAAATGGTACAAGTCGCGTGGCCTCTTGCTGTAGGAAATTAAGTTGCGGGGCGTATCCAGTCCATGGCACGTGGGTTCCCCATCCCTGGTTCATGCATTACAATTAAGTGTTTCCAGTTATGACAATAGTCAATTACTGTATGTGACTTTGAAGATCATTCCTTATTATAGGCATGTGCACAGTTGTGTGTACGTGCTGTGGGCGACTAAACAGAATAGAGCTTTGACTCAAACAGATGCTGTGGATTGTCTCTTCACTAGATGGCAGTGCAGCATAGGCTGTGAACACAAAATAAAAAAAACCCTTGACTATACTGCCCCAAGGAAACTCTTTTATGTAAAGCATGTAAGTGCCACTTGAATTGCTAGCGTAGTGTGTTTCTGTTAACAAACATGTATTAATGTTTGTTAGTCGCCTATGCCAACCTTTTAGTCTTAATTGTAAATATATTCTTCGAGTTTGTTTGGATACTCATGTTGATATTGCAGTAATGTGTATGTTGAAAGTGTGGAGTATTTATTGCCTTACCTTATCACTGGAACACATGTAAAAAATGTTAACGTAATAAATCCGTTGCCTTCCTGGTTGAGAGGCTTGCCATTCATGAGACGGTGCGATTATTACATTACAAAATCTTTTGTGTATGCCGCATAATACAGCACATCAAAACTGGTACGTAAGCCACCCTTTACCAACTTGGACTTACCAGCATTGTGAAGTATGATCAGCCAAACACTGACACATGCCTTGGGAAGCTTTCATTCTGCAGTGGATTGACAAAGGGCTTTAACGTCGTGAATATTATTCTATTGTACCATTTTTTTTTACCAATTCTCAAACATGCGCAACTGTGTGCAGCTGTAGTTTTCTCGTAGCTGACGTGTGCTGCTCCCCGAAGCACACCTGTACTGCAGACAGGTATGTAGGCATCGTGGTATCTAATCTGCCTTGAGGCAGGGGCTTGTTCTTTTTTTATCTTTCTGCAAAAACTACGCACGCCGTACCAGCGAGAGTGCTTACTTGAGAGGTGATGGATTACACTCGTACATGTAAGTGCTGATGGTTAACAAGACCTTGTCGAGACACTCAAACCTATTGAGTCCATTGCACGCCACTCGTATTAACATATTAGTGTCTAAGTTTTCACTTGTGGAGACGTTTTTTTGTTTCTTTTACCTGCGTAGTAATAACATGACACTCAGGTGCAGGTGTTTCACAGTGGGACTTTGTTACAGGGACCTGCTTTGAAGAATGGTACACGATGGAACAGGTTCCCAACAAGTGACCCTACGAACTTCCTATGCCTCAATTGAGGCTACCCCGTTTGCACAAACGAGCCAGTCGTAAAACGCTGTCCAAGCTGAAAAAAAAGGAGCCAGCACACCCCAAGCCTTCTGTCCTCTTTCACACTTTATTGCGCTTTGCTTCCGATTTTGATCTGCTCCCTCTTTTGAATTAGGCATGCAGGGTCCCTTCCCACAATTCCTCCCCCTCCTGTCTTTTTTTTAAAGGCTCCCCCTCGGAGCCAAGAGGAAATGAGAGTGTGTAGAATTGGCCCAAAGAGTCTGGTTGCTTCTTGTCTCTGGCTGAGGGCTTGCCATTGTTTCCAGTGGCAATAGCCGCACCATAAAATGCTTTTCTTGGAATGCGGCAGGTTTATTTATGGGGTCACCGCCTCTAACAGTAAATTACAACATGCCTGACAGTTTCAGCTGATAAAGTTGACACGTATGAAGTGTGGTTTTTTGTTATTTCCATTCTTGTGTTTGTCCCGCAGACCCAAGCAAACATCCTATGAGTCATAAACGTGTCACATAATTACATTTCAACATTCTGAAAAATACAGGGTAAACTTTTTATGTGATGCACCATTGTTGCAACATGCTTCTTTTTACACCTGATTAAAAGTTATTCATACATGCGGTGGCTTTAAGTTGACAGAGTGTTACAAAGTGTTGAAATAAAAATGCCTTTGAATGTGACACCATGTCGTGCTCACGTTCTCACAGGAATATCTGGATGAGGATAGTTTGTTACTTAAATGCCCTGGGTGGCACTCGGATAAATAATACTATTTTCAACGCAGTAAGCCTCATTACTTGGTGTTGATATTTAGCACACACCAACGTGGCATTGATGTATTTATAAAATGCCATGTGTTCTTTAAAACCGTTTGTTTCCTTAAAGAAGCGTTTAGCATTCATAGTTACAATGTGTTATGCATACCATAAGGTGGCCGTAGGGCTTATGGAGCAACTAGTCACGAATATTCATACTTTCTGTTGCCCATTTGGCTTTTGTAAACTTAAGGAAATAAATTTCCATTTAGTCAGTCCATGCCTGTTAATCACCTTAAAGTGTCCGACTTATATAGGCTTATAATAAAGTGTGGAGCAACAGGATAAAAGAATCATAATTGATATCAATAAAACATTATATCCTCCAGACTTGAACGTAAATTAAATGTGTTTAAAAAATGTGACGTAGATTAAATTTCTGACAGGCAGCAATACTCTATTTTAACAAATTACACTAGTATTGAAATGGGAAAACATATTCATGTATTTGATGAAACGATGACTGAGTGGTATGGAAATTGGGGTCGCAATCGGAATTCAAATCCTGGGTGGGAGTTGACTCAGCCTATCATCCCTGCAGGGTCTTTAAAATAGCTACCAGTTTGTGGGTAAGTCATCAGTAGTTATCCTATGGATAGACTCACCCTTCACCGTAGGAATGTGGAATTTCCACCACTGACTTATGCCTGCAAACATGAATCAGAATCTGTATTTGTACTGGAGGAATCCGATGAGCTATGAAGCTCTTTTTCACAGATGCCCAGTAGGAGCACGGGGTAAGAACGTTACAGCAACAAACAACACAAAACATGATCGTAGTGCAAAGTCCAAGAAAGGTAAACAAATCACACAAACACATTAAACTAAACCATCCTACCAGGCAAAGCCCACACAGGTATTAACGTACTTTTCAGAAGTGATCTGGCCACAAATGATATCTCAACAAAGTGGCCTTTCATTTGGACATATATTTCACTTTGACTTTTTTACTTTGTATTTATGTAGTGCAGAAATGTCAAAACCGCCCGGTGGACAGCTTGTAGCTGACAGTGCATCATGTTGAGAACGACTGATGTGGCTGTGTAAAATTTGAGTCCCACGTCACCTATGCACAAATACGTATTGTTGCGAATTGAGATGGGGGGGTGTCTTCCACAACAAAATAAGCGCCTACTCCTTGGACTGAGAAGTTGTTTTGTGCCAACATTACAGGGGGGGGGGGGGCTGATAAGGAAGCTTGAACGTGTGAGCTATTTATTGTACGTATAATTTATGTCCATAATATGGGTTTTTGGGGTTAGATCGCGTAAATGTGTGGTTAAACCCGCCGCCACCCAACAGGCAATTATTAAGGTTTGTCACGTAAATAAAACATGCCGTTTCGTTACTAGTACAGCACACCGGTGTGTTGGAGTAAACCCACAACATTTACAATTCGAGTACGACGTTTTGCCAGTAATTACAACTAGCATCATCAGGCGACAGCCAGATAATTTATGCTCAAGATAGGAAGAAAAAAACTCCGAAACCAGCATACACAAAACAAATGTTATCACAACAATTTCAAACAATCCATGTGTGGAGAAAACCCACCCCCCATACATGTATTTGTAAATTGAACATAAGAACATTGGCACACCTGTTTTTAGCACAAGGGAAGAGGGGGGTAGTTACCTCGGCAGGTCAGAAGGTCATAATCACTTTTGAACTCTGGGTCAAGACAAATGTACCCGCCTCCACCACCACCATCCCCCACGACCCCAAAGTGTGCGAAAATGCCTCCTCGACTTGCTGGTTCTACAAGCCAAGGTACATCAACATGGTATCTCAGCTCAATACGCCCATTGTTTTTGAAGCGCCGATGACTGCGTTCAGGTTTTTTCTTTTGCTGGGTCAGAATTGTTGAATTCCTTTAGCGCTGCGCGCACGTCACGTTCGTCTGGATGTACTCGAAAAGATGGTTTGATTTTTTCTGTTGCCCTTAAATGTGCCAGGCGTAACACTTTTTTTTTCATCCGGCCAAGCCTGCTAGCAAACAGCACGGGAATCCGTGCGTGCGTGCGCGCGTTAGCGAGTTTGAGTGAGTTAGCGCGCGCCTTCTCGCTGCCTGCCATAACTCACCCGTAATTGCAGAAGCACGTCCGTTTAATTGACAGCTGGGAGAAATGGCCACTTCCTGGGTCAAAGGTGAATGCCCATTCATCTTGTAGGACATGCTACTCCAAACAAGATCCACCAATCCAAGGTGTCAATTTAACATTTTTGCACGTGACGTGTAAACGTTCACATTTGAGAGCAACTTGCCGATACTGATTTGTTCAGTGAACATCGGTGAAGCAATATCCACCACCAATCTTTGACCTGCCAGTATTTGACAACACAATCCACACTGTAAAGTGTGGGTGGTGTTGTAAAATGTGAAATTCCTGCTTTATCTAAGAAAGGCAAATACGACGGTTTCTTGGCATGCTTTAATTCTCAGGTTGTTAAATCGATGTCAGGATTGCCTTATCGATTGCAGTCTTATTCAGCAAGTGCAATTCAAAGAGGGTCAAAACACGATCTGTAAATACATCCAAGAGGATGGCCGACATGGCCATCATTCGTCGTGGGGTTTTTTTTTTCAAAGCAGAGACATTTTTTTTTTACTTGGCCACACCGTGGAGGCATTGCGTCCATGGTGTGAAACGCGAGTGAAAGAGGTCCGCTAAAGGTCAAGAGTGCGAATCGCCCACCCTAAATGCCAGGCGTGTGCCCACGTGTGTGCGAGTACAAGTGGGGGGGTGCATTCGGTGTGTTCTCATGGGGAGAGAGGGTGAATGGGGGGGTGGAGGGTGAACAGTGGAGGGAGGCTTTGTATTCGTATCTACAGACAGGTGCATTGTTTCGGCCAGCTGTTCATGGTGTACATGACAATAGCTTCAGAGGCCCTTTGTGGCCTCGCATTGCCTTTTAACTCCTTGTTGGAGAGCACAGTGAATGTGCAAACAAACACACAACTTCCTTTTCCTACCTCGCGACTGCAAGCGGTTAACGACTGAAAGATTCGCGGCTCGTTTGTATCTACGGACGTGTCCGATGGCATCGCTTCATTCATATTGCGGGCACCATTGACTTTTCTGCGTCACGTCTACCTACGTTCGTGTTTGCGTGATGGCCACGATGTAGCGATTGTCTGCCCATTTATTACATACATTCTATATTCGCACCTCCGATTAGCACGGTTGGCTACGTGCGGTGCGAAAGAAGTTCAGCATAAGTACAGACAGACATACAATACGGCCGTTAAACTGTGTTGTTATGAGAACCACCCAGACATCAAATTGTGTCGCCGAAATTTTTTTTTTTTTTATTTGTCCACACACCCCTATGTGCTGTCCACACACATTGTGAATCCGGCGACCCGGCACCCGACCACGGCTCAGACATCAGTGGCGATGCCTGAGCCCTAGCCACTGCGACGCCTCCCTGTCACCGAGCCGCTCCTACCGACATGGTGAGGTTTCGATTTAAAGCTTTCGTGACTGCAGGGATTCATC